GACGCATAACATTCAAAAACCAATGAATGAAGTAAGGGTTTTGATATTTTTATGGCTGGGTAAAATTTCCATCAGGTTTTGAACGGAACTTCAGGAAGTACAGCCATGGTCAGGTGGATCGACTGGGTGCACCTTATGACGTAACGTCAGTCATGCACGTACCACGCAGGAGCTGGAGCCGTAATGGGAGGAACACTATAGAGTCACGCGCTGGAGCCCATGTAGTTTTGGGTCAACAGAGAGGTCTATCAGTTGTGGATAAACAACAGCTTAATCAGCTGTACAATTGTGGCGGCAAGAAGGGTAGGACTCTCTTCAAACCCCTATGTCTCAAATGCTTGCAGTAATCCTTTAAAATTAAACATAGTGGTTTTAAGAAAGCCGATATCGCTTCAATTGGATGAAACTTAAGAACGCCAACAACTTTTTAAAGATACTGGACTCGTAGAAACACTATGAAATCATTGGAGTTGCCACGTGATAAAGAACAAACCAAGTAATACACTGTTTTCTAATAAATTGCTTTATTCACAGGCTGTTTTGTCTCTGTGGGTATCGAGAAAGGTCAAATACGCGACTCACAATTGCGCGCAAGTTCTTACAAGATATACCACGAGCCACACCAGGCTCGGTTACATCTGACCGCGGGATCTAAGGGGAATGGTGCCTGGTGCGCTGCTCGAAGTAGAAGTGGAGAATATTTACAGGTAAGTTATCACATTTATTTTTCTTAACAAACTAAAAGTTGCCATCTACCAGTTTAATATCAAAAATCGTCTTTTAAGTGGAATGAATACAAATAAAGTCTGTGTTAGGTTCGAAGACAAAAAATTGTTACTTGGGCTGCCTGTGGAATGCCCGAGTTATAACTTGGGCTTCGTTATTATTTTCCGTCTTTAGACGCAAAACGCAGTCAAGTTCTCATCACGTATGCGCAACCTTTTGACTTTGACGCATGTGCGACGTTTTGACTAATGAGCACATGGCATGGTGTAATGGCGGACGAAGAGAAGCTTTCGCGGTGCAAAATCAGACAGGAAACAGTTACAGGATAAACCAATAATTGCACAAAAAAACTTAGGCACATGTAGGCACATAGGGAAAAAACAAAGATTCCTTCCAACAGAAAGCCCGAGTGAACGCAAATATGCGTCTAGTTTCTTCATAATGCTAGAAACTTCCATTAGTTTAACAGGAAATTATTCTACCTGTGGAGTCAGTATCTTGAAAAGCATTTTAAGATCACCTTCCGACTCACAAGTAGCACTTGGGAACCTGATCATCAGAGAATATCAAGCTATAATCTGGGAAGACGCATACTCTCCCCTTCATGAATGAATCACTCGGGGATACTGCGCTGGTGCGGGGAGGTACATTTTCCTTTAGCTCTCGTCACTAGCAGGAAGTTGGCGAGAACACGAGTAACTCGCGCGCTGGAAGGCCTTCCTGCGCGTGGATTGTCGTTCGTGTACCGGTCCGACTCACGTGCACCAATTTAAATCTTACCTTTCATCAGAAAGGCTTATCTCTCAGTCAGCGTGTTAAGTTAACTGCAGTGTAAAGTGTAAGACTTTGTGCACCAGCAGTGGGGGAGTCATGTCCGTACACCATGAAATAACTCTTGAATCATCCAACCTACCTTTCCACCCTTATTTTAATGGCAAAGCCAAATCTCACTCTTAACTGTGGCTGTCCAATGTAAAACCCGGGAAGATCTGTTCATGAGCTGTCTTCACGTGCTTTGTGTCACGAAAAGGCAGTGAACTTTTGGTCGCTTGACAGTTGCTGCTGCAGTAATTACTGTTCTCCTTATTTTGGATTCCACTTCACAGATTGACTTAGGCTCAAGACACAAGATTACAGCAGTTGCAACACAAGGCATAGCAAGTCTTTTCACGAAAGCCTGGGTAAAAGGGTACAAAGTTCAAAGTAGTGACGATGGCCGCCGCTGGGTCTTAAACACACAGGTCAGCGGTGTATCATGCAAAATTTGAATGATCGAGGAGTTGATTGAGTTCGTTTTAATAATTCTTTAAATAGGGTATACTACTTAACAAAACGTGTTTGTTTACTGAGTACCTATGGTTTTGATGACTGCCATGCACGCCGTAAATTATGGTATCCTTTAGGTGTGCAAGACGCTACGGGTTCTGAGTAGAAATTGCATTTAAATGTGGAAAGAAACCCAGGATTGCTTTGGTATTGCTTAATCGAGGTCTGTGATTGGTCCCAAAAAGTCGCGCCACTCTCTTTAATTCGATGCAAAACTAAAGCCAATCGCGACTTGTGTCATTCACGTTTTCCTCCGCTTCCATCAGTTTGCTTGTTTTTACTCGGCTGCTCTGTGACGCATTCTTTGCCCTGACTGGCCTTTCTGGTAACGTTATTTTGGTTTTGGCGGCACTCAATGGAAAAGCTCTCTATCCCCTAGACCTCAACATTAGATAAAGTCGTAAATCGAACTTGAGATTTTAACCAAGCTTTTCCGTTCGTGCTACACCTGAGCAGCAGGATAGATAAGCCAAGCTCTCAAACAGGATATTATAATCAGATAACACTTTAAAGAGTGGCAAAAGATGGCACGCCTCGCCTTAGTAGGTGGTCTACAGCCCTCTACTCAACATATAAACAGAAATTTTATAATTTGTGTTTTATAAGTTTCTTGAGCCTGCCACCCCCCTCTTTTCCCCCCAAATAATGTTGCCTGGTGCTTACTATTTTTAGACACCATCTCCAGTACCAGACAACTTTGAAATAAGGGAGAGGGGGAGATGAATGGATAAATGTCAGATAGTGTAAATTAAAAAATAATTAAAACTTGCCTAGACTTTTGGCAGGCATTGCAGTTTCCTGGCCTCATGATCGTATACTGACTTTTCAACAGATCTTGAGGGGAAATTGGGACGCAAACTCCGTGCAGTACAACGCCCTCCGAACACCGTTTAGTGGTCGATACGTACGACTTGTCCCAACTGACTGGTACAGCCAGATTTGTCTACGAGTCGAGCTTTATGGATGCAAATAGATGAGATTAAAGGTGAGAAGAGAAAATATATTTTTAACTGGACTGTTTTTGGCGTATGTGCTCGCAGTACATCGTCACACAACGAGCTGTAAATTGCCTTGATTTTCCACCGGTAGATCGTTCATTTGCGGACATTTATATTGTCATATTCCAAAACAACATGCGACTAACTGCTTTTAATGGAGGTAAAGCATTTAAATTCAGAGGTAACTCTGTCAGACAAAAGAGACTTGACGAATTTATGTGGTCAAACTGAACTTCTATTAATGGAGGACAGTCATGTAAGAGGTAAAAGGATCATATTGAGACTGAAATAGCTAGCGAGCTGGCCCTCATTATCAGCCCTTCGGGACGGGCGTTCCTTCGCCCGCGGGAAAGTTTGATGCCTTGAGCAACGTGAGCTGGCGAGAAATCCGCAAGGGGTCTGGCACTAGTAAGAGGACCAGACCCCTGGAAAACCCCTCCACGATATCTCAAATCTTCCCTCGGGCGGAGAAACGCGTTCACCACAGCACTGATAATTAGCGCCTAACAGCAGGCTAAGACTGAATCCCCATTAAGGGACTTATCAGACCCGGTAGGGTCGGTCTCATGGGAATAATTAACAACTGTTCGCTGAAGGCGAAGTGAATATTATTGAATAATCCTCAAGATAAAGTTTTTGGCGTTTTTAATTAAGGCCTAAAGCTCTTTCTTGTGTATTCTCTCCAAAATTGTTTTGATATATAACTTTAGGCGATTCTAATTCACATCACGTACCCCTCCCTCCCCTCCTCCTCTTCCTCTTTCAGGTCTAGGTCTTGCCTTAAAAATGAAACTCTACCGTCTATTTGTTGTTGTTGTTGTTGTTTATTTTTTCCAACAACGGAGGCTGACCTTGAAAGACAAGAACTTGACTCTTCATCGGCATCCTGAAGTAAAATAGATTGGAAACACTTACTTGACCGCCTTGAAAAGTGCTCTTACAACACTATTCACAGTGCCGTCCGATATCTTTCCTTTTCATTTCCTTTCAGGGCCAGCACAAAACGTTGTGCATTCTCTCCCCAGACGAGAAGAGAAAGCGAGATGTACCATGTATGCTAGTTAATTTTAAATTTTGACCAGCTTATTTATCAAGGGAAATTAAGTGAAGGACGACCAGGAGAATTTCTATTGTAACTGTTGGTTTAGTGGAAACATATCAAATTCCTATATTTTCATTTAAAACGATGGTAGACATTAAAAGGAATTTACCGTTTTTTTATGGTTGTTCGTTGTTGCGATAATTAGTAATAAAAAAGGTCAATCCTTTGCCTAGGTGGAATTCATACGAAACTTGCGGCTAAAATGGAAATGAGATAATTGGTCCTTGTTAGGAGTTCCAAAGCTAACGTTTCGAGCGTTAGCCCTTTGTTAGGACGAATAGAGGAATTGTGGGTTGTGTGTGGTTTACAGCTGTTTCGAAAAAGGTTGTCAGAAACAATAATAAAAGTGTACGCAAGTCTCGAAAGGTAATCTGGGTATCCGGTTATCAATGAATGTCAACAAGTCAAGTAAAGAAATAAATTTATCAAACCCGCTATGCCTTGTCCTTACAGTGAAGTTTCCTCAGATTTCCCCGAGCCGAGCGTGCAAGTGTGTCACTGACGTTCATTCCTCATTCTGACTTCCTCTGTGATCTTCTATAAACAGACTCACGTTAAAATGCTGTACATGTTGAAGTCAGGAGCCAATCTAAATGAGTGTATGATCCAGCTTAACCCTTTACACCCGAACATCATTGTGCATATTCTCCACACTGTTCCCTCTATAATTCCAAAGGTGCTGACAGGGAGAATTTGTTTAACAATCAAAAGTCTCTTCAGGTGATGATCATTTTCGTTATTCTTGTGACCTTTGTGTGTGATTCAGGGGGGATATTGTAAGGAGAAGTTAGATGCTAGTCACTCTTGGGGGGCAAAGGGTTAATAACAGACAAACATTTCTCAATAGCTTTGAAATAAGTTTTAATAAGGATAAAAACACTATTTACAATGATAATAAGTTAACGACTCCTCAACCTATCAATAAATACTTCTCGACTTCTTAGCATAGTGCTATAGTTTTGTTTTGAAGTGAGGTAAACAACTGGTAGCCTAGTAGCTGTATTTACTTTGCGGACATGTTTAATGATAGCGTGGTCTTAAGATGTCACGCGATCTCATAAGTAGCAAAACATACCCTCATTGTGACAAACGTACTTTCTCCTGGCCTGATAATTATTATTAAATACACGGTAAATAAGAAATATTTATCTCTCAAATAGTATAACTATAATTCTTTTCGTTATGATTTACAAACAATTTATGTAATCTTTCTCTAAACTTAGGAGTCTAACTTAATCATTAATCAAGATTTCCAGGCCCGCGCGTATGACAGAATTAAGCAAAAATGCTTTAGACTAATTTCGCACAGGGATTGATTGTGAAATTGTTTCTGCTCATGTATCCCCTGATGCAAAACATTAAGCATCTCTGAGTTCTTTACAAACAAGATAGAAATCTGTAACCACAACATTTATCACTTCATCCAGTGCCTTGCAAGGCAACCAAACATAGTGCATGGAGAACTAGATATGGTCATTTATTTCTGTTACCTATTTCAACCCCTTGTAATATATAAAAGTTGCCATTTGCAGAAAATCTCCAGTTTCAAAATATTTTTTCTCTCCCATAAGGAATTTTTCCCGAACAGTTGTAACTATAGTTCTCACTTTTTGCACAACTTACACCAAGTCATTTTGGAACAAAAATTGCTACAGTTTTCACCACTAGAACAGAACTTAAAGATATGATGTAATAACGAATCAATCGTTGCCAACATCAGGTTACACTCTTACTTTTAGATCTCAAAGTCGGTTTAAAGATAAATATCAGTACATGCAATGAGGGCCTTTGAGTAGCCTTCAGTATTAGCCCTGCAGTATACTTGCTAGTTTAACCCTATATACCATATGCATATCCTCAATACTGTTCTCTAAACATTTCCTATGATACTGACAAGCAGAATTTGTTTGACGATCAAGAGCTTCTGTAGTTGGTGACCATTTCCTTAATTCCCTTGACTTTTAATGTTTGTTTCAGGAGTGATACTGATTGGAGAAATTAGATGTTAATCACTCTTCGGGGTTAAAGAGTTAAAACGAATCAATAGAGAGCATGCACGCATGTTACACTTGATTTCCTAATGGAGATTATCACTAGGGTTTCAGTGCCACCTAAAAAGAAAAAAAAAGCTCAGCAGTGTTCAGGTGAAGCCTTGTCAACATCAGAGACACCTTACAATTTACATTATTAGTGTAGTCAAGGTGGCTCTGATATGAGGTTTAAGGGGCATGACCAGCAACTCAGAAACCGAGAGGGACTTCTGCAGAATTTTTCAAAACACAGGTTAATAAGCTCCCTAAGTGCCCTGTTAACATACCATAATATATTGTTTACACTGTTTTTCTATAAATTACTTAGTATATAGATATGATAATTTTTTTTTCCTTAACCCTTTCACTCCCAAGATCTCATTCTTAATCCTCCTTACTTTTTGCCATACCATTCTTGTGATGTGAGTTTGGAGAATTTGGTTTTTTGGATATTTTTCTTTACTTTCATCACTTTTCTGCTTGACATTGCATTAATATTGTAAGGAGAAATTATGTCTTGGTCATTCATGGGAGTAAAGGGTTAACATTTTCAAAGCTAGAACCATAGAAATAAAAACTTTAAACATGGATTTAACACCTGCCCAATACAGATTATCATAATCTGATCAACCAACACTTATGGAATGATCAATGAAAGTGTACAACATAATTCTTTGTACTCATATTGGTTTCTTTAACACAGTAAAAACTTTGGTTTGACTGTCACTAGCTTCCAGTGGATTATTCGAAATGAAATATTTAGGTACTAAACCTATTCTTAAGAAATCATATCAATACATTTAATAACAATTTATTGTCACCAACATGGATTTATCATTCATAATACCATACAAAATAGAAGGGACAAACTCTAGTTTGAGTGCAAGTAACTCTTCAACTGTTACTAGGAGAATTTTTAAAATACCTGTAATTAATCAGTAATCCTGGAGAATGAAACGTAGTGAATCTTGATTTTTGAAGGAGCACTAAAAGCACTTTCTCTTAATATTCACTCATTGTACATCAAGTGCCTGAATCAGCTGGCATTAAATTCATGAAGGATATTCTAATAAATTGTCCAAATTAGTCACTTTAAGGCAAAGAAACTATGGTGTAACACTTGTAATGATAACCCACCTCAAGTAACCACTCACAAAGCTTAATGTTGGTGTCCAGTAGTTACAGGTCAACTCTGAGTTGTATGGGGCTAATTTTTGGCGAGGGGTATTACAAGTTAGTTTGATTTTATCTACTGAGTTGTTTATGTTAATTGGCCACCATTAAGAGTTTGTAAAGCTGATGTTTCATGCGTTAACCCTATGTCAGAGGGAACGACAAATGCTAATGCTTGGAAGCCCTGCTTTACAACTCTTTACTGCAGTCAATTTAAGTTATGAACTCAGTTGATGAAATGAAATGAGTTGATAATCACAATGCTTGTTCTTGAGCCCCCAAGTGCTTATGACTCAAACAATCTAGTTTTCACTAGCTCATAGGTAACTGAGTCATTTGAAGAATGGCATCTTGCACTCAGCTCTTTCAGTTTGTCCTACATTATGACATACCAGTAATGGCTCTTCACTTCTGATTGCAACTCTGATTCTGACTTTATAATTAGTGAAAACCTGCCTTTTACAGCTACTGTATAAAGTGTAACATAGATGCTTAGCTTACATTGTATAAGAACTGGAACTGTGAGGGGTCAGACAACACTTGTCATAAACATGAATGTGCTTATATTTCTAAACTGCATGCTTCTTTAAAGAAGAGTAACCTTCTTATGAGGTGGACATGACAGAGACCAGCTCTGACTGGGAGAATATACAAGTAATCATGTCACTAATGGTGAATTCTTCTTAAAAACCATTGTGATGGTGGGACATTGAGGTCTGTGACAATTCTAACAGGCTTTTGAAAAGGGAACCACATAATGCTGTACAGTGCTGTATATTTTACATGATCACGTACACAGCATCAAGGAGTAACATGTTACATACAAGTAGAGGTAAGATTTCTGCCTGTGGCAGCAAAAAATTTCTCAACATGTTCACCTGTGGCCATTTTCTTTCCTTACTGCTCCACTACCTTTTCTGATTCCTTTAATTCAGGATAGTAATTCTTGTATCTCAGATGCCAAGCTAAACTTGTACATGCAGTAACTGTTCTAAACTGATGAATGATGTTGCGAGGAATGAAGTAGATGTCATTATCCCTCAGCCGGAATGCAGCATATTTCACACCATCTCTTCTCAGCTGATTTAATTTTGCATCATCTACCCAACTAACACACTAGAAAGAGGGGGCATAAAAATTATTAATTAGTAGGTAAGTGCAAAAAGATCAGATAGAGGAGGAGGTATTTAAGCAAGTTGAGTTGTATGTGAGCAAATAACATAGAATACCACTGTCTAAAAGTGTATTCTCACTTGTTGGACTGGAGGTTCATGAAGATCCAACTGCAGTTTCTGAGTCAGGAAATTAAAGTTTTCAGCACTAAAACAGATCACATCCTTACAGTCTCTGTTGGCAGCTGGACTGGAAAGCAAGTGAAAAGAAAATTGTTAGGATGGTAGCTTAACACTTTTTAAATGGTTGTGTTCAAATGTGGGAATAATTCTCTACAGCTGTAGCTCTAAATTATACATGTTGTGCTTGTGTGATGAGTATGATAAGCCAACTCCAAAAGACAATTCCTATAAAATTTTTATTTCAACTTCACTCTTTGACCCCCTAAGAGTGACTAGTATCTAATTTCTTGTAATAGTATCACCCCAAAATCACACATTGAGGTCATGAAGAAAATGATCACCGATCAAAGAAGCTCTTGATTACTAATCAAATTCTCCTTACCAGCACTTAGGGTAATGTATGGAGAATAGTAAGGAGAATGTGCATATTGATGTTAGGGTGTAAAGGGTTAAGTAAAAGCAGAGATACTCCTGTTTTAGGCTCTGAAAATATCCTCATCATCATTAGCACTGTGATCATTATCATTCAATTCTGATACCTGCCAATTTCTTGTCATTAAGTTGATCAAACTATCAAAACATTCTGATGGCAGCATACTACCTGTAGAAGGTTTATGTTTTATAGCTACAGAAGCAAACTGAATATTTTGTACACAGAACTGGTCCCTTACATTTCTCCTACATGGACTGCTTTCAATACACCAACAGCTGCAGTCGTTTGTCTGTCAAAGCCATGTCCAACATGATCAGCATGACAGCGTGTTCTATCTTCGGCAAGAATCTCTCTGGGTTCAGAAACCCTGGGAAGGTACTGTAGGTTTTGGAGTTCATTTACACCAATTCTTGGAAAAAAAAAGTATTGAAGATTTGATTTACAATATCTAGTACATGTAAGTACTAAATGATTATATAGCAATTAGCTGCCAGGTTTGGCTATTATCACCTGATTAAAAAAAGAGAAGCTCAATTGACCTTTCAACTTGCAAGCTGAAGTTATTGAATAACCCACAATAGCAGTTAACAAAAAGATATAAATTAAGGCCTAGAGCACTTTAAGGCCTACAGAGCTGCACAACAGGTGAAATCAAGTCTCCCTTTTAAAATTAAATGTTTAAACATTTATTAAAGGCCAGTTTGTAAAACCCTACACACAGTTACTAAACCTTGAATAAAAATTCCAAATGATTTGAGCAAAGTATTGTAGAATCGCTATCATGACCTGGTGCAGGGCAAACAAAATCATGGAAAGAAGACATAACTTTAGTGCTAGCAGACTGACTCGAATTGTTAAGTACCAAACATTTTTCCAAGCTTCATCCATGACATACAGTACAACAAAACCATATAACAATGTGCATGACATACCTTCGCTTCTTGTATGGTGATCTTGATTCTGCTGTGGGAACAACCTGCTCTCCTGGTCGAACCCACATGATAGGGCCATCATTGCTTTTGTTTCGCTCAGTTAAATTAAGTGCTGAGAAAGTTCCCCAAGGCATTGTCTCCTTCAGAAAGAGACATTGTTCAAGTAAGTCCAAAAACTCTGGGAAATATCCTCCACTTTCCTCCTGAACCGTCCCAACTAAGCTGAACTGCAGAAGGGGGCCTGACCGGTATGTCCCACAATCATAGGAAGATTCCACTCTTTGCATGAATTCCTCCATCTTCAAAGTCTCAAGGTCTGATTTTTTATATAAAGAAGAAACCTTGACAGTCAAATTTGGATGATTTACTCCAAAGTACTTCACAAGTTCAGGTAGATATCCTGCAGCGTTATGAACAATGCCCATAACATTTTTTGCCACACCTTCACTTTTTTCAGCAAAGACTTCACGAAAAAACAGTTTGACAAACTTTTGCAGCTTTTCTTCTCTTAACCCAGCAATTTCATCTGTATAAACATGCAGCACTGATGCTCCACCATTGGCGTCAACCTCTGTATGAATCAGATGTGAGAGACGAGTTTTTTCCTTTGGATTTAATCTAATGGTATAATCTTGATCATTAAAATTCTTTTCCTCTTCATGGTTATGATGATAATGATGATGCTCCTTGTGTTTCTTTTTCTTTTTCTTTACATCTGATCCTCCATTAAGTTTAGCAGTACCATTGCTTTCATGATTTGTGTCAACTGTGAAAATAAACAGTATTTGCAGGTTAACCTTTTAAATCCCATGAGTGACTGAGACAGAATTTCTCCTTACAATATCAATACAATATCAAGTAGATGAGTGATGAGAACAAAGAAAGATATCAATTAGGGGATTATTAGTTGATCCAATTCCAAATGCTCCAAACTAACAACACAAGATTTGTATGGCAGACAGTAAGGAGAATTACTATTGAGATCTTAGGAGTTAAAGGGTTAACTAAGAGCCACTCATCAGTGGCCTACTGCTGCCTACAAGGCCAATTACTGCCATCTGTTCAGCCTGTTTGAGTTTCACCTGATTGCACTTTTTCTGGCTTTGTTGCCAATTACAATTTCTCAACCTCCTCTAGAAAAAGTTATTGAAACTTCTGAGTTAGGTTGCTTAGTCTATAAATCATAAGTTCAGCTAGTATTGTATCACAACAGTTATAGTAATTGCCATAGCATTGTTTTGTGTGGTTCCAAAATATACATGTTGCATTTTGAAATGATGTTAGTTTAAATTTGTCTTTAAACATTTCATCCCTGAAAGTGACTATGATCTTGTTTCTCCTTACTGAATCACACATTAAGGTCATGAGATTAAAGGAAATGATCACCAACTAAAAAAGCTCTTGATTATTAAGAAAACTCTCTTTGTCAACACCTTAGGAATTGAGCAATAACTGTATTGGGAATATATATACTGTTGCTAAGGTGTAAGAGTTAACCAGTTTGACTTCCAATTTCTGGTGTCTAGGGAATATCAGGATGTATCAAGCACAAAGGAAAACACTGACCAATCTGGTTTGAACAGTTTTGACCTGTAAGCCATTCTACATTTCAGCACATACACCGCAACAAAACACCATTATTATCACTTTGTTGGGCATTGCTGTCCATTTTGTAGGCTAAAATGGAGATTTTGGCAGGCTTAAATACTTGCATTGATTGTTCTGCCTGTTTCTTTTATTTTGGGCTATATTTTTCAGTTTTTATTTTATCAATTCCCCCCAATGATAAAATGTAATACAGCTTATTTTCTTGGGAATAAATATGTTTCGAGCCCTTTCAGAGTCATTTCAACCCTTGCCTCACAATTTAGGGTAAAATGACTTTGAGTCTAACCCAAAAACATCTTTATGCTCATAAACATATCCTCCATTGTTTTATTATACCACAAACACTAGTCAGACTCATTACATGGAGTTATGGAGTTTGATATAGGCATAGATGGAATGATCATTAACCCTTCAACCCCCAAGAACTCACTGTTAATTTTTTCCCTCTAGCTGTGACACATATACTTTTAAATTTGCAATAATTTGTTGTTAGATCAACAACTTCCCTCTGATAAGTTTGAATATTCTCATAACTTGTTTGCAGGACAATGCAAGGATATGATAGAGAGAAGTTACAGGTTAATCACTTCAATGAGTTAAAGGGTTAATAACTGTAAGTAATGAAAATTTACTGGCGCTATATTCATGTGGATTCATTACCTGAGTTTCTCTTGATTTTCAGTTTCAAATCATTGTGAGAAATAATCTCTGGGGCTGCAGGTGTAAATTCACACTTCCCTGCAAAATAATAACAAATCTTTCAGAAAAAAAATTATCATAAAAATTTTTTAGGGACCATATTAATGATTGGTAAATTCACCAGGCCATATCTTATTGTGCCGCCCACTAAATTCAAAAGTTTGTTTTTCCGCTAGGATTTATGGCCTGCACATATCACACTTTGGCTATAAATCCAAAGGGGGAAATACATGGTTCATAAATGTTGCTTACTATAAAGATCTCAAACTTGGTTAGTAAGTGGTACATTTTAAAAATTGCTGGTTTATATTTGGAAACAATTTTAATGCAGGTACAAGGTCGCTTCTTCCCTGGAATCTCAAAATACAACTGAATGAAATTCATATAATTACATCAGTTTCAATATCAGGACAATTACATAGTTTTTAGGGCAAACTTCTCCCTTGAGGAGTAATGCACTTATGTTAAAAAAAGAGTGGTATGGTTCATTTAATGTTTAAGTTGGGTTTTGAGCCTTAAAACTATTTTCAGATTGCCTTCTTTTCCTATGAAGGGTATCAACAAGGGAGCAAATGCATGTATGAAGTTACAATGCTACATTGAAATCCACTAAGTTTGGTCAATTGTTAGATCTCTGAGATACTTTTAATTTCAAATCAGACTTGCCCTTTTCTCCCTGACAATGGATAGTAAACACAACTCGTGTGATCAGGTCTTACACCGTTTACTTATAGGTAAAACAATATTGGTACATCTAACAAATGCTGATACTGTAACCACCCATCCTTTGCATATCATGACATTGCAATAACCACAAATTAATCACTTTTTTTAAAATCTCAGAGTTGGAAAGTCTCCTATTTCAGTAAAGTTTAAAAAGTGCATCTATGTGTAATATTAAGATCGACTCCTTTGTCACTTCTTTGTGCAAGACAAGTTCATCTTCCGCAGCAGTTTTGTTTGTAAAAACACGTGGAAAGTTACACACTTGTGTACGCCGAATTAACTTTAAAAGGAAATAAAACGAGAGCATTCAACATAAATATCTTTCTTTCTTTTAAAACAAATACCCTTCACCATAATGCAATGGAAATTTCCTCCACACCACCGAGAATTTAACTTTTGTCTTATCAGGGAAGTCTGGTTGCCCAAGTCACACATGCTAGGCGAAGATCGGAGTCAATATGGTGAAGTTTGACGTGAAAAAACTCTTTAGATTCACAAACAAACATGAAAATTTTCCTCCAAAATGCTACCAATTCTTTCCCTTGAAAACCCATACCAAACGGATGCAAATAGGTTTGCAAAATTGTAAAAAAACGGCCACCACAGTTAAGCAGAACAAACAATTCTGTATCCTCTATAAGTTCGATTTGTTTAAGCACCCGGATTTCTTCCGTTGTACAATTAATTCTCTCAACCATAAGCTAATTCAACATAAATTTGCATCCCACCTTCCTTTTTAATTTTCTTTAAGGTTGTCTTTAAACTGTTGTTCGGTGTTTTTGTTGGTGACGGTGTTGGTGATGTCGGCGACACAGACGTTATGTTCCAACTCTCTTCGTGCGAACTCAAACGATGCGTTTTGCCAAAATTCTCCAAAGGTTTTGTCTCTTCTTCGAAACTCGTCTTTCTTTTTTTCTTGACATGTTCATCTTTTGGTAATACAATGCTTGTTGGTTTCTTCAGGAAAGGGGATTTGCTAAAAAACGTATCGCGACCGTTGACGGCAACTTCCTTCGAGGTCGCCATCTTGGAATTTATATTATGGGTAAACAGTGACGTCACATCAAATACTCCTGCTGTTCTTTCGCGCGGTTATCATTGTAACTATTATTTTTCTTTTTGTAATTTATGAAAAGATCGTCCGGGGGGAACAAGGAATATTTTAACTTCTCATTGTCGCAAACCGAAAATACTAGCATCATAAGAATATTTTGATAATTTTGGTGAAAGCATTTTTACTTTTTTCGCTGAAATTTTGTCTACAGAGCATCGAGGATAAATTCAACACGACTACTATATATCAAATTTCACTTCTAGAATATTCAAGGCTTATTAGCTTCATTAAAACATCTTTACTATAAGCGATACATCAAACGAGTGTCAAGGTTTATCGTTGAAATATGTCAATGAATGTCTTCGAAATGATTTAATCTCTTAACAGAAAATAAGCCCTGTTTTTTTTTTAATGCATTAATTAGAACCAGAATATTTTGTAACAAGAGCTCCTCATCGAAGGAAAAGAAAATGGAATGAAGAACCTTTTCAATGTGAGAGACAGTTGTATCTTATGCGTGTAGGGTGAGGTGAGGAGAATCAACGCCGTCACGCAAACGAGGCTTTATAGGAGAAAGTAAACATGGCGCCGGGCTCTAGAACGTTAAGAGCTTCCGAAATACCAATCTACACCCTTGATTTTCCTCATACCTGTGTTATTCCTTGAAAACAGCAATGAAGGTCAGCTCAGAGGGCCAAGTATGAAAATATGGATGCCTGGAAAGCGACAAGTGATGCAAAATTTGGAGTTGGTAGGCGTTTATCGTTGACATGTAAAGATCCGCTTTCAAATTTTGAACTTCTCAAGATGCACGGAACTATATCAGATCTGTCTTTTGCGTCTTGTAGTTGTGTACAATTTTGACGGAAATATTACTCATGGACTACGGTTAACCATTGGCGAAACTGTGCACATTTTAGAAGAATGCGCAGGTAAGCGCGATCTAATTTTAATCATTGACTCCCAGTTGGTATATCAGCAGTCTTTCAATGCCTAAGAATATTTCCTTATTGACCTATCCTGTTATCTGAAACTTTGTTATCAATTTGAGGTTTTCCGGTTTTGCTGTGAGTGTTTTACCATGGCAAAGATGGCTTTCCGTAATATTCTTAGAAAAGAATTCAGTAATTTTATCTATGCTTAACTTGATCGTGTCTATTAAAATGTTTAACACTTTTCTAAGTTTGTTTAAATCGCGCATTATTAAGTGTTATCAGTTAACTTCTGTCGTAATGATCATGTCTCGGTCGCGAACGTTTGAGCGTATGCGTGGGCAATCAATGCTTCAGCAACATGCTAACGAATTGAGATACAATATGTTTTCGTGTTTTTACGGTTTTTCGATGGAACAGGTTGGTACAGGGGATGCACTTTACGAAACAAATCTGTAAAGGTAAGTTCATCGCATTTCCAGTCATTGCAGAAGTCAGCCTTTCAAGTTTTATTTGTTTATTTTATTAATTAATTATCCAAATATATGAATGCTTCATTCAAATGTAGAAGAGCCCGCAATGAATTCAATCAGGATTTATGTTTTAAGTTAAGTTCATTAGTTTTGTAATGTTTAAGTTTATCTTCTTGGATTAGGAATATAGGAAGAGCTTTTAATAACGCCTCTCTTGCCACCAAAATCGCTAACAGGAACTGCATCTGAGGAAAAGGACCATTGATTTGATTTATTAATTTTCACAACTTTGTATTTTCAATTATACATACTGTAACAGTGATCCTTTCTCAGTTGTAACTACAGTGGAACCCTGCTAACTTGAACTCAGTTCATTTCTTCAATTCCCTTACTAACTTGAACAAAATTCAATTCCCCTGGATTTGACCCCATTTTTTCAGTTTATTAATACTATCTTAACTTGAACTCAATTAACTTAAACTTGCTGTGAACTTGAGTTAATTTTACTTTCCCTTGGCTTGGATTGACTCTGATAACAAAAACTTAGCTAAAACTGATAAAGGTCAAAATATCACAAAAGAGGTGATTGTCTGTAATCACAATGATGTGAATGTGATAACATGTATGAAAACGTAACACGTTTGCTTAATTTCCCAAATTAAATGTTCTCAAAGAAAAGCTCTTATGAAAAAACTAAATGTACTAAAATTACTATTGATTGTGCAAGAATGGTAAAGTCATGTCTCCCTATTAATTATTAGAAGATAGTTGAAATTCAACACCAACCCCGATAACTTGAACTATTGCTAACTTGAGCTATTTCTGTTTCCATATGGAGTTTGACTTAGCAGGGTTCTGCTGTAATCATAGATCGTGCTCGGTGTGAGATCTTTTGTTTAGGTCTCACAGAAGAGGTTTTGGAATTTTCCAGTCATTGCTTTATAATGTCGGTGAACTTAAAAAAACATTACTGAGAAGTAACCAGAATTAAATTTGAAGTGGTACATGAAATAATGAGATTACTTTAATTTGAGTAAACAGTATCACTTACGGGTAATTGTATTTTTCTTATTGACAGGGTATCTTTCCAGCAACATATATTCACCTCAAGGAATGTACTGTGGAAAATACAGGGTAAATGTAATTGTTTTTCTTTCTTTTGACTTCTGTACATTTGAACAATTTGCAATTACTCAAGAAAATTTTAATTGAAGTAGTAGATAGATTCATTTGATTCATTTTCAACCAACACTTTATCTTTAGCACTTGCTAACTTGTAAATTTATTTTAAAAAGTTATCAATTATTTCTGTGATAAGCCTATGAGAGTGTTGTCCTGTACAGCATAGGGGAATTCCATTGGCTGATTTGAGTGCATTTATGGCTTGTTATGCATATGGTTGAGCTATTTTCAGTTCTCTTGTTTGGTAAGACATAAGTCATCTTAAAAAATTTAGTTCCAAATGGGATGGACTTTCATGTTGTTATAATGAAGAAGATAAACCTACTTGTTGAGAAAGCTTTATCCAGGCACACTTAAATGTGATCATGGGGTTCAGTTTATGTTTTGACTCACTGTAAGTTACTTGTAAATGCCCTGTCCTGTGTGTTTCTAAAAATAAGTGAAGAAAATAAGCTCAATACCCTCGTGCAGCTGGTAAAAATGCTTGAATGTATATGATAATCAAACTGTGAGCTGCAAGGAACTGATACAATTGTAATATCAGCAGACAATTATATTGGTCATGGTATATTTTTGCACCAGGGCAAATATAGATTCATTTTTTTTTCTTATTATTATCTTATTACTTCCTTCCATCCTCCAAAATATAAAAGTATAAAAATATTAAGTAATGCTGAAATAACTATTACTTTGAAATTTATAAGCCACAAAATTTCCTTTATTTCTAGTACTGCAATTGAAAGTGTTGTCCCTAAAGAAGATGCTACAGTTAAGGAGCTAACTTTGATATTAAGAGAATGGTTTGTTATCTGGAAAGACCTTTACAAGGTATGGAAATGATAGAAAACTAATGATTATATATTAAATGCACATTTGATCTGGAGATAAAACTGAGTCATCTTGGCCATAATTATGATGTAGAAAGACATTTTGCATGTCATATTACCACCACCTACCTACCCCTCCCCTGTGTCCCACCCCACACTCTCCCTTAGATTTCAAAAGAGAAGTAGGGAATATTTAGTGATATGTAGTTAATTTTTTGTTGATCATTTTGAGTTAAAACAGTTGTTATTTTTTAGAAAGTACCTCAAACAGGTTGTAGCTTGTGGAAGAGTCTTCTGTAGCACAGTGGTGGAGTATCAGATTGTTGGCTCTTGGGTTCAGTTCCTTGTTGGAGGGGGGGGGGAGTAGGGGAGGAGGCTCATTTTTTTTGTTTGTTTCCATACTTATAATGAAAGGTATAACAACCCTCTTTAATGTGATGATACTTGATTTACATTAAGAAATGACCCATGTAAGTGGGCTGCAATGGAAGCAATTGTAGAAAAGAGCCTGAAAAATTCATGCTTTGACAGGGCTCAAGTCTGTGCCTCTGAAATATTAGTTAGGTGTTTCTACCAGCTAGGCTAGGAAGCCACACGTTGGGAGTGAGACAAATGATTTAGGGTTTTATATAGGAGCCTGTTCACAATTTTTATCAACATAACATTTTAACTCTTGTGCCATTATAGGGAAAACAAGATCGCCTCTTTTTAGCACTAAAAACAATCATGTGGGATTTAGTGGAGTGCAGGCAAAAGCTAATATCTGGAACACTGACACAGGTACTTGTTTACATGTATCATAGAAAAATGATTTCAAGCTAGGGACACTGTAAGAGTGAGGAAAAGATAATGTTGTATCAATGTGAGAATGTGAAATGTCCTGTTTATTAGACATAAAAGTGTAAGTGACAACCCTGAAGGTATTGTGGGTAGTTTACAGGTCATAGTTCCTTAACCTCAGGATCTATTAGGGAAATCTGAGAAAATGTCACTGTAAGGACCAGGCATAGCAGGCTAGATGAATTTATTAAATATTTATTTGACTAACCAGATACCCAGGTTCCCCTTCAAGGTTGCTGCATCCACTTTTTGTCCTTTTTTCTGAAAACCTTTCTTCATACTTCTTTGTACTACTATAGATGTAAATGAAATATTCAAATCCAAGGCAATTTTAAAACATTTCAAGATGGCTGACTTTGTGCCTTCACCTAAGACGTCATTGTTTAAAATAGGAGGAAGATGAGAAATTCAAGACATCTATAAAACACATCATTGAAAGCCTTACATGTTCATTTCACAATGCCATCTATTTTGCAGGACCAAATGGATGACATCAAGAAGAAAGCTATCAATAAAATTGACTGGGGTAACAGGTATGTATGTGCCTTAATAATCATAAATTCTCATTAAGAGAATTCTGTTACTTGTAACAACTGTTCAGCCACAAAGAGTGCTCCACACTGCAACTGTACTGGTCACCATGGCAAGTAGGGTAATATTTTGGTAACCACAACAAAGGTCTGTGACAAAGGTCACTAATTTGGCCTATTTCCAATTTATGGTAAGGTCTCTTACCTACACACCAAAGCTGAACGTCCCTTGTAAGAATTTAAAGCAGTACAATGATGCAAACCTAGATATTGTACTAATGGGTATTGTCTTGAATTATTTGCCAGCAAAATGGGGCTGGATCTCATTCCAAGAGTGGATGGAGAAGTGGTTGATGCTGACTCCACAAGTGTTGTTGAACTCTACAAAGTGGTATGTTGCATATAATTACTGTATCGCCTGTATGTGTATATGTTATTAGCCCTTTTTCTACCAAGATCTAATTTTTAGTAATATGTACTTATTGATGGAGTGGGAGGGCTATACAGGAAAATATTTGGTACAAGGTAATAACATATGGACTGAGCATAGCAAGGTCTGTTAATTGTGAACAAGAAACAAAAACTTTTCTTTGTTTTTCTTTTTTTCTCAAGGTAGAACAAGAAACTCAAAATTTATTGAAAAATGTGACTTTTTTACTCATTTCCTTTTTTCCCTTTTTATGTTTTTGCAACAAATCTGTGTGAGTGCAGGGCCAGATGGCTTTTTCTGGATTGGCTCATGTCAACTTGTCCAGCCCTACATGTCAGTTTTGTCTATGGTTTTCTGGATGGGTCATATGTTAATCTTCCTTTCAGCCTTATAATTCTACTTATAATTATTAGTTTGGAGAATTTGGTATTGGATCAACTAAAAAAATCACCAAATTGATATTTTCTTCATTCTCATCACTTTTCTGCTTGATACTGTACTGATTTGATGTAGAGAAATTCTTTCTTGGTACTCATAGGAGTAAAAGGGTTAAAATACTTCTAGGATTGCCATCACATGGTAATTTAAGTGGCTCACTAGATGAATATCTAATTGACAAACTAACTTTAGTGCTTGGACAATGTTGACTGCGAGGTTGTAGTGGAAGTAGTCTGACTTGTGGTGTCTTAGACATGTAATTTGCTATTTACATCTGTTTTATTTTTAGCATGTTTCAAGTGCTGAAGCTAATCTCCAAATATCAGTAAGTTATAATTATTGAAAAAATTGTAATATCTTAGTCAAATATTATTTGAATAAAATAGTATTGATATCGTTCATTGAATACCTATCATCCAATATATTTCCAAAATACCTGTTTCTTAATTTTGCTATAAAACGGCTTGTAGTTGAGGATTTGATTTTCACCTATCAATAATTTCCAATGATTGTGCTACTGTCAATTATATTAAATTATTTACTATGGAATATCAGAGGTTGAGAAAATATTCCTTTCAAGGATACCTATCTGTGGGGATATAGTTGACCCTTTTCATACTAGCATCTGTATCTATATTCTTGATACTCTTTTCTATAAATTTCCTTTGGTACTGACAAGGAGAATTGGCTCAACAATCAAAGCTTGTTAGGTTGGCAATCATTTCCTATATTCTTGTGATCTTAATAATTATGTGATTCAGAGGTGATTTTGTGAGGAGAATTTAAACACTCATCACTCTAAGCAGTCAAAGGTTTAAAGCAGTTGCAGGTAGTTCAACCTGAAAAAAAAGAATTTAGATGAGCTTGGGACTTGGATACAGCCATGCCTCTCATATATCCATTGAATGATACACCAGTTTGTATTAGCTGGGTATAAATCTACATTTTGGGGATAAGGAAAATTCTTGAGAGCTCTTTTGTACCTTCCCCCCCTACAAATAATGTTGAAATAAATATATAACATGGAAAGTGCTTCAGTCTTTCTTTTTGTTATCTCTCAAGCTTTAGTTTTGTTATCATAGATGCTCCTTTAACATGCATAGTTGTTTGTTGCACTTATGCAAAGTTGTGTAATTATGTCAGGGGAGAGGAAATTTCAAGAAGACAACCACTCGTGGTGTCAGCACTGTGATACACCATGTCTACCTGAACATGACAAACTTTACGCACAACATGGATGAGAAGAGCCAGGTGTTTTTCTCCATTTATGATGCAAGGGAAGGAAGATTCATCAGGTGTGTGAATGCTTTATACTTTATTTATTTCACCATAAATTTAATTATCAAGTTACTGGTGTGAAAGAAGACTGAAGGTGGCAGGAATGGCCATGAGAAAACAAAGGGCTTTTACACAATGGGCTCCCTCTTAAAAATATTATTTTTAGAGGAAGAATTGTGACAAATCAATGGCAGAGTGGAAATTGAGCTGAGCTAGAATTATTTTAAATAATGGGGATAAGTTTCTAATGAAATTGTGGTGTTACATCAGTGGGAGAGAATAACAAGGTAATTTAGTATTATCAACTGAGTTGATAACGTAAATTGGCCACCAGTAAGAGTTTCAAAGCTGATGTTTCAAGCGTTAGTCCTTTGTTAATCACTCTAAAGTGAAGGGTGATTCTTGAAACTTAAGCTTTGAAACTCTTAATGGTGGTCAATTTACATTATCAACTTAGTTGATAATACTAATTCAAAATTACCTTAAAGTTATTTTAACTGGCTTATATTCATAAATCATTCTATATAAGTGAAAAATTGGAAAAAAAGTGAGAGAAAAATTTAAATAGTGATACAACAACATTATAAACATGAAATATGAAAGGTTTATCATAAGAGGACAGTTTTCATTTGTGAAGTTAAAGAGACAGTACTGGGAGAATTTTGAATTTTGGAGTTAAGAGAGGTAAAGAATTTAGGATCTTAGAAAGAGATAGAAAACATTCTTATATTAGTCCTACACTGGGGTAAATAAAAGGTTCAATGCTTCTCATTTCAGTACCCTTTTTGTTTGTAATTGTGAATTTCTTTATATGCAGTGAGAGGTTTCTAGTTTCTATTGGAAAAAGTGATAGCACACTGAAAGTTAACCAACCACAGAAGATTGAAAACTCATTCTGTGTTTTTACTGTAAGTATGTGACTATGTCAGTTGTCAGATTAATTGTTAACTAAGTAGAGAATGAATGTTAAATGTGGGAACTTTTACAGTTTGAGTAAGACGTTTGTTTGAGGCCTCCAAAAAATCCTAATGTTGTTTGAGAAAAACTGTAATAGATTTCAGCATACAAACTTTGTCCAACCCTGTACATTGTATAACACATATAATATTTTGGAATGAGACTTTGGTTGATAGCACCAGACATGTAGACCTCATTCACAGATACTAACATCCCACAGTGTAGTTAGCGCTTCTAGCCCTGAAACATAACCTGCTTTGGAGGTTGTTGTGAAATTGCATACCTTGTTTAGGATGCAAGACCCCATAAGCCAAACCCTGCTTGACAGCAAATGCCCAAGGCAGTGCCAACCTTCCTTTCAGAAGGAGTATGGATGCCATCATCATATTTTAGGCTTCCATTTGAGAAAGACAACCTGTTTTGAAGGCCATGTGGTGCAATTTTATACCCAGGTTTAGATGCAAGACCCCAACAACCATATCCTGCTTAACAGCACATGACCAAGGGAGTGCCACCCACTGTTAACCATAAAGTACACACTAATGTTGCACAAAATCTAAATGCAGTCAGAATTTTTACTATAGAGAGGCTTTGTAAATTAGGCAAACTCAAGAGAATAAATATGCAAATATAACTTTATTTTTAATTGCAGGACCTTGGGAGCAAGGATGTGTTAGCTGAAGCTTTTCTTGTTGCTCACATTGTGAGAATAGGTATGTTGCCTCTGAGGACTAGAGCAGTAATTTTGTTCTATGTTTTGTATCAAGGATTTTGCTTTCTATTCTATGTGTCATTTGCTGCAAACTTTTAACTCAGCCCTGATTCATATTTGTTTTCAAACAGAGCTCCTAACCTCCTTTTTATAGTAGATAAAAATTTTACATGTGTTATGCAGACAATGCACCTTACATTTAACACACCCCCTCTCTCTCTCCCCTTGCCACTTTGTTTATTTCCAACTGACTGTTTAAGGAAAATGCTTGAGAATAGAGAGAGGAGATTTGGTGGGTTTTAGTGACTTAAGTTACATTGTTTTACCAATCTGTTAACTCCATTTATTTAGTAACCACTTCCAATATCCTCTTATTTCTTAGGGAGAATGCTTACTGATGGTTCATCCAAGAAGGTCTCGACTACATCTTATAGAAGGCCATTTGGATGTGCTGGTGAGTGAAATTTGTAGCATAAAAGTACTTGTGTGTAATGTTGCCATTCTTGTCGAAACCTCTTCAATTCATTTAAATCTGTCTTCAATGTGGCTTTTGAGGGCCCTTTTTTCATGACAAAATAAACAAACTGTAAAAGGTCAGTTTTTTGTGTCAAACAGAAATGTAAATCTATTAAGTAATAGAAAAAATTCCCTTTTACTTCAAGTGTTGGATATAGTGGATGTTTTGACTGGAAGAGAAGAGCGTTTGGAAGAGAAGGAATTCCACATGCCAATTTTCAGGTGAGCATATTTTATTTTTCAACTTTTTATTTATTTAAGTATTATTTAACTAACTTTTTATTGATTTGTTTATCAGGGGTGACTCCTTGAAGTCAATATGCCACAATTTACTCAGTTTTTGTTTTAAATAGGCTTGTGAAATGAAAAGGTTTTGTCTGCGCAAAGGTTAGGTTTTGATGGCCTTCCTGGCACCCCCTGTCTTCATAACTGTTGACCCTTTTCTGACCTGAAGGAGAAATGGGACAATCATTGTTGGAAGCTAAATGTTTTATGTTTGGGTTTAATTTCCAGTTGTAGTGACAGTGATTTCTGGATGGTCCATGATAGTATCATTAGAAAACAAACTAGCAAGTACAGTGCTTCAAGCTCAAACAGCAGTGAGTTAATAAATTTATGAGTGTTAACCCTTTTAAGATACATGTAGAGAGAATAAGTCACAGAAATTTAATTTATAAATGTTCAAAATCTCAAGCACTGAAATGATCATGTGGTATGGTGCATTTCTAGAGAGCATGAGAATAGTGAAAGAAAGATCAATTGGTTTTATCAACTGAGTTGACTATGTAAATTGAGTTTCTAGGAACTCTTTAGATACTCTTTATGATGGCCAATTTACATTATCAACTCAGTTCATAAAACCAAATTATCTCATAATACCCCCCACTGATGCAGCAGCACAGTTTCTTTAGAAACATGTCCCCTGTATCCATGAGGATACAGAAGCCTGCTTTCATGTAAGAATAATGTGTAGCAACTGATATTTAGCAAGGTGAAAATTTGTCTTTGTCCATAAATTATATGTCTTGACTGATGAGCTTTAAGATTTTTGAAGATAATTTCCTTTTTTTCACAAGTTTTTGTAGTTCTCTTTGGTTCTCCGTTTTCAGATTTTAATTATGTAATTGTATTTTCATTGGTCAGCAGGATTGTGCTGGCCATTTAGCAAAGGACAGAAACATATGATTATAAAGTTAAATTTGAGTGTGAATTGCCTATGTGTCTCTTCCCAAACTTCAGTGGTCACATTCTGTTCTCAAATCAAACTCCTGCCAATCCCCTCACTCCTCTTTGTAAGCTGGCTATGTAGGAAAATAATGGCAAATATTTCCTTTTTTTCCAGGTATCTCTGTTTCCCTGAGAGTGTTTCAAGGTGATCTGGATAAGGTAAACCTTCTGAGTTACTGTGATAGTTCTTTGTTCTTTCTATGGAATAGAAAGGTGGAAGGGGTAGGGTGGGGTGGGACAGGCAGAGTTAGCATATTCTTTAATAATCTCTAGTAAGAGGAGTCTCCTTGTGAGAGGTTTTTCTTTGTAAAAAGCCATGCTTACCATAGAGTCTCCATGGCTCAGTGGTAGAGCACCAGAACACAGAATTGGAAGGTCTGAGGTTCAATTCCTCATGGGGACTCAGAATTTTTTCCTTTGTCTCATGCTTATGACTAGACCAAAAAATCTTTCTGTAGGTTTTTCATAACTGCAAACTGGGTGTTAATATCCTTATCAGGAATTCTTATGACAAATTTATCAAAAATTTTTGTTATTGATGGTTGCCTGTATGTATCTGTAACAGTTGTGGTTCAGTGAAGCTAAATCAATGACATGTTTATTTTCAGATTCAAAGTGAAAATCCCCTTGTATTGCCAAAAGGGATTCCAGTTGTCAGAAAGTTAGGGTTTCCTGATGTTATCATGCCAGGTTGGTATGACACATTTAGTTGTTGAACTTGTAATGTATATGTCTGAAATAATCAACTGCTAGCATCTTTATTAAATTAAATTTTTCTCTCACATTCATGGTTAAATTCATTGAATTTTATCACTCATTTCAACTCAGAATGGATTGATGCATTTTATCTCCACAGGTGACATAAGGAATGATCTTTATGTTACTATCGAAAGAGGAGAATTTGAAAAAGGTAATGAATTCAAATAAACTTTTTTAAAAAGTAAGTCTCTTGACTAAAAAAATCTTCAGTTAGGCTTCCTTTAGTAATATCTGCTATGACATTTGATTAGGGCCTAGGTAAGAATTTACAGTTTGAACAAGAATTTGAACATGGATTCTTTCTTTCTAATTAGGATCAGGAAAAACTACATCCAAAAATGTTGAGGTTTCCATGTGTGTCCTTGGACCCAAAGGCAAAGTGATTGAGGTAATGGTTATTCATGAAATATTGAAGGCCAAAGATATGAAGGTGCGGCCAAGAGGTTGACACCTTAGACTCTGGGTGGAGTGGTGTGGGTTTGAGATGTAGTCAGGCCAGCAAGTTGTGTTCCTGGGCAAGACACTTTATTTTCACAGTGCCTATCTCCACTCAGGAATATAATTGGATACCAGTTAACTGCTAGGAAAAGCTGACAATGGGGTAACCCAGCAATGGACTTAGATGATATCTAGGGTGGAGTAACTATACTCCTATTCGCTTCTTTGTATAGAAACTGGGATAAGCTCCAACTGAATAGGCCACTGTGCCATGCCTAAGAGCAGACTTTTACTAAACAGGAGGAAGGGAACTTCTGCCTTTAAATTCCATGATATTTTGCTCTACCACTAAGCTAAAGAAAACCTTTTTATGAACCAGTTAGTATACTAGGTTCATAAGTGAACAGTGTCCAGCATATTGTTAGGTTCAGCAACTCAGTGCTTTCACCTTTGCTGATTATTGCTGGGTGTGGGATGTTTGTCTCATGTGAATCCAGCATATGGCCTGGATGTCAATTAGTTCACTATAGCTGAGAGTTATAGCATCAGACTGCAAAGATCTGATGTTCAAATCTGTGTGGGAAGGCAGACTTTTACTTTTTCTCATCCTCACAGTGTATTTGTGTCTATTGTTGCAACTAGGATACCCATGCAGTGTCAGTTTATGCTCAGGGATGGTAGTTATCTGAAATGTAGATTAAAAATGAAACTTACATTTTTTATTTTTGTGTTTTTAATTCAGGATTGTATTTTCCTTGGGGCTGGAGGTTCCAGTGTAACGGAATATCAGTCCATTATCTTTTATCACAACAGCAGCCCAAAGTGGAATGAAACCATAAAGGTGAATTATTAGATTAGTGTCTGAAACTTCCTAACCCCAGGGGAATGGTTACACAGGCTGAGTGACTTGTTGTCATGGTACTGATATAAAGCATAAAATGCTAACTCTTGACCCTGATAATGAATTCCATTAACCCTATGGCCCCTAAGAGTGACCAGCATCTAATGTCTCCCTTCAATATCAGCACTGAATCAAACATCAAGGCAGCTCTTGATTGTTAAACAAATTCTCCTTGTCAGCACTTTAGGAAATGTATAGAGAACAGTATGGAGAATATGAATACTGATGCTAGAGTGCAAAGGGTTGAGGTTGCAGAGGCATCAGTCACTCCTACCGACAAAAGTCCTTCCCAGGACTCTCACGCTGGCGATTAGATTGTGCCATCTACGAACAGCATATGTTACAAACAGCGAACAAATTTGTGCTATCAAATATTCAAACAACTGAACAAGCATCGTACTCCCATTTTGTGCACTGATGGTATTGTGTGTCCAAATTGAATCGTACATGTAGGCAGACGGAATTTTATTTAAACTACCACATTGAAAATTGCTACAAAACAGTATTGGTTCTTGCCTACGTCGTGCATTCATCGAGATGTAAAGGACATGGAAAGTTTCAGAGGTCTTATGAAGCTCAATTTCCTTGTGGCTGGATCTTGAGCAACACTTGCGTATCTTTCAGTCTCTAAAAACCTCCTGCGTGCTAAGTATCTCAATGGACGTGCTCTGACCAATTGTTATACATAGAATCACTAATTGCCAGATTCGAAAGATGAACATCACATTTCGGTATAATTGGTTACTAAATATTTTCCATCTATGATTTGATAACAGATACAGCTTCCCTTTGAATTGTTCTTGGGAGCCCATTTGAGATTTGGCTTTAGACATTTGTCAAAGTTTGAAGGTTTGTACTTTGTTAGAGTATTAGCAATCAAGTTTTGAAAATAACTGTAAACGAACATACCATGAAATTCTTCCTGAATCAGATTTAAACCATTTACTGTCCCATCTTAACCTGTATTACAAAATAAGAAAACGTTATTAATCGTGGTTGAGTATTAAGAGCCTAACGACACATTTATACCGGAGGAACTTTATCCTGGTATCTATAATGGGTCATTACTACTGGAGGAACCTTATCTTGGTATTTATAATGGGTCATTTCTATCGGAGAACCTTATCATGTTATCTCTAATGAACCATTTTTACTGAGTGAACCTTTTCCTGGTGTCGATAACGGGCCATTTCTGCTGAAAGAACTTTATCGAAAGCGCGAAAAATGTTTTTCCTCCTGCGGGTTTCTCACCCTTCGCGCTTTCCTCGCGTCCTCCTCGTGCGAGTTTACGCTTGCCTGAAAAACGCCAAAGAATTTACGCCTATCCCGCAGGTTAGTATCTTGTGATAAGATTCGTCGAAGGCCCCCATATAAATGTCTGGGTGAAGAACACAACACAATCACTATCCTAAGTTTCACTACACTAACCTTGAAGCCTTTCCAGCTGCGACAGTTAAAAATTATGGCAATTTGTGTGTATTTGAATTGTTTTAACTTCATTTCAAAATTCAGAAAGGGAGAAAGCCGACAAGACATTTGGTTTTGCTTTTGAGAGCCTGATGAGAGCTGATGGGACTACCATCTGTGATAGTACACATGACCTGTGTGTCTATAAGGTGAGTTTAGCTTTCATTGTGACAAGTGTAATCTGTTCTGGTACTGTACTTCAACTAAGGCTCAAGTATTACGAAGCGTTGATTAGATTTTTACGAGTCTGGTTTGATTATCTGGCTACGAACAACTTGACCAAATAAAGTTTATGATCTGCATAACACAGTAGACATTGTAGGTATAACGTGAACACAGTACATAGCTCGATTGATTCACACAGCAATTCCTTTGAGATGGAACTCTTAATTGTGTCAGGGAAGCCCATTCAACAGCTGAAACCTTGAACGTTAAACATTCAATTTCGACCTCACTCACTCACTCACTACCCTTTGTGCTAATAGAGTGTAAAGTAACACCCCTGTGAGTCACTTCCTTATCGTGGGGTGTAGTCATCATCCCGTAGTAACTCCTAAGGTGGTAAGAAAGTCTTTTATCCCTCGGGGTCGTCCATTTTTGATAGGTCAGAGGCCAAGGGTTTGACGACGACTTATCCCCTGGTTCGCCTGGATGGGAAATAGGCGCAGGGCTTACAACCCTGTTTCGTGAAAAACAAAACAAAACAAACAAACAAAAATAAAAACAGAAAAAAGCAAAAATAAACTGTATGGGTGTTTTCCCACTCTCTAGACCAATTTTGTGGCTCAAATGTTACTGGGCCCTTTCGCACTGGTAAAATTTAGAAACACTGAATGCACCATGTATACGATGTACATTCACGCGATACAGAGCTGAGACTATGAACTACCATACACGCTCTATTTGTTTTCCTTGGTTTGCTTACATCTTGATTCTGCTTGTCAGTCAAAAAGAGCAAAAAATGTTTTTGCCTCTACAGTATGATGAAAATTGTTTCTATGACTCGAAGACTTATCTCCACATGCCATCAACTTTGTCAAAAATGGCAAACCATACCATTGCGGGCTCAGATCGATTGGTACGCAACTCGAAGGATGCCTTTTACATCAAAACGATAGTGTGTTCCACAAAGCTGACTCAAAATGGTAAGAGCCTATAAATAGTGTGCTTAGGACAAAATGCATTAGGAACGATAGCTAGGCGTTTATCCTGACCATACAAAAATGTTTTTCCTTTGGGGAGAAGGGATTGTGTGTTGGTTGGAGGATAAGGGGGGTAAGAGGGGTATTGGGCATTCTCCTTCCTCGGTGTTCTTTTCCCTTTTGAGAGTTTTCACCCCCAAATCCCCCCCCCCCCTTCTTGAACAAAACCAAAAACTCTAATTTCTAATTAAACCGGAGAGCAGTGGCTAAGGAACAACTTTCTGTATGTAATATTCGAGTTATTTTTTATTAACTCTTTTAACAAGTAGGTTCTATCATTGATATTTTTTCAGTTGATCTCGTTGGTCTGTTGAGATGGAGACAACAGAAGCGTCAAATCCCATCGGTGTTAACTTCTTTGCTGAAAATCGACGGAGAAGAAATTGTTAAGGTTATTTTGATTGTTGTTGTTGGTTTTTTTCTCGTAATAATTTCGATCGATCTGATCATTCGTGGGAGACAGGAAAGTAATAGAGTTCACCTGGTTATTGTAACCGGGTCGAATGTATTGCTTTATATTTTGTCAAAACATATTTGATCTTTAGCTAGGGGTTTGATCTTTAGCCAGGGGTTTGATCTTTACCCAGAGGTTTGAGTCATTGACGGTAAACTTTTCTTAAAATTGACCTGATGAAGAAAAGGGGCTGCCTCGAGCTGGTGCAGTGTTAAAGATATCGAGGTTTTTATTTAGTAAGAATAAACTTCTGGTGATTTTTTTTAAGCAAGACTAGGGGAAATCAACTTTCAAGCCAGCGCGAGAATCGAGCCATGGGATCGACTTACTAATAGCCAACTGTACAAATTACTTATTTGTGTTTGATAATTTCACAGTTTCTTCAAGACATTTTTGACGCCCTGTTTGCCATTCAGAACGAAAGTTCAGAACAGTGTGGAAACCTCGTGTTTCAAGCTTTGGTGAGTGAAGTAAACTGGTCAGCAAAACATTTACGTACGGGAAACGCATTTCATTGATGCATTTATGTGAAGAGGTCAGAAACAAAACCAATATGAAGAGAGATAGTTTAAAAGGGACTCTTGTGGGATGAAGATAGCGAGGTTAGGACAGAAGATATTTGTATAGGAACAACTTAATTTTTGCTGGAAGAGCGTGGATGTTTTAATGTATAGATTAAGCTTTTATTGGGTTTTAAGGAACAAAACTCTGATAAAACGCTTTGCCTTTCTGGTAAGTAGAAGTATGGTTAGTAGATCTCTTTGATCGTACCACGTCCGTGACAAATGAATAACAATTATCTTCAGCGTCATGAGTTCATGCCTAGGGCAAATGAGTTGCTTGAAATCCTATAAAGTAAATCAATTCGCTATTGGATTTTGATCAGCGTTAAATTCGTTGCTTTTCCAGGTTTTTATCATCTGCATTTTGTCTGATGAAAAATATCAACACTTCCAAGATGTGCTGACGACATATATTGAAAAACATTTCAGTGCAGCCTTGGCGCACCGGTAAGTTTGTACGACTAGTGTACGGTTGGACGAGAACCGTGAAAACTGGGGCGAGTGAACCAAATCAAGGCTTACCGGTGAATCTGCCCGATAGATGGATGGACTGTTTCATTTCGCTTTTTATTTTCTTCGTATAAGCTTTCTTCAGAAATGATGTTTGGCGGAAGATGGCTTCCAAAGGAAGGGGTAGTTATATATTCTTTTACATGCTCTGGATTGTTTTCATTGGTTAAGCCTCGATCTTCCCAGATCCGGTTCCTTTACCGGTTTGCTGCAGATGAGTGCAACATCTGGATGCTCCTGTTTAACTACCCGGGTGTTAATCAGTCTTCAACTGGTTTTCCTTCCTCTTGAAACGCTGTTCCTAAAAGTTATACATTTCATATTTAACTGGCATAGCGCTCAACTGAACATTTTACAAAAACCTAAATTATTGTTAATAGGATGTTAGGTTGAAATGTCGTAAAAATAACTATTAAATGCTGTTAAATCAAAATTGTTGCTTCCTAGTACGACTGTCTCACTCCATTTATATTTTGCATTAACTTTCTGTTGTTCTTTTTTGTCTGTTTGTTTTTTGTTGTTTTGTACTTTGTGCATTTGTTGCATTGAAATTTTTATCTTCAGTGAAGACTTTCATTTTTGTTCGGCTTTTTTTCTTTTACTTCATTTTTTGTTTTGTTCTTTTACATATTTATTTTGCCGTAGGAAGCTAATTAACCGCCTGAAACAGACCCTGATATATACAGGAGAAAACGATAAAATGGATAACCTCAGAAATACCTTGACGGTAATGCTAATCATCATCCACTAAAAGTTGATTTCCACTTTAGAAGAAGTCGAAGTCGGAGTCGTATTCAGAGAGACAAAACGATATTATCCGGTGAAAATCAAACCGATGGAATCCAGGGGCTTCAATAAATTTAATTCATTTTTTTTGGTAAAAGTGCCGTAAGGCGAAAACCCAAACACGAGCGCCTGCTCGTAGGGTCAACAGACGGGGGTGAGAGGTCTCATGGGCAGCGGTAGACCACCGGTAACCGGCTTTTAATGAAACCACGTGTGGAATCGCAAGCAGAATACAGATGCCGACATTATCTGTTGCTCATGATTCAATGAAAACTAGATTTTTTCAGAGTCGTAAGCAATCTGAGGGCCTTAGGATTAGCATTCTTATTGGTTGGTTCTTCTGCTTCTGATTGCGACTCCAGCAATCTGGTTGTCATTATATCCTTGGCGTCGTGGTCCAAGGTGGAATCGGAAACGTTCGGATTTTTCTGATTCCGTTCGGCTCATGATTCCGCTTATGATTCAGATTTTCCCGATTAACTTTTACGGCCCCGACTTAGTCTCCGTCACTATTTGCAACTACGCTTAACTTTTCTGTTTAGACAATCAGTCACTCAAACATTTTGTTGATGTTGTATTATTTTATTGATATTTAGAACAGAATAAGGTTGGTTCATCGACTGCCGGTCTTTTCACCTATTTCATCTGGTTCGGTGTGAATTTAATTCCACTCTCTCTCTTTTTTTTCCAGGCCTTAGAATATCTTTTTAAATTCATTATTCAATCAAGAATTCTGTTGATCAGGCAAGTAACTGTTTTTACTTCTCTTGTGCAATACGCATTTGCTAGGGCACGTTTCGACCGGGTGTCATGAAACCAACACCAAAGTGATCCTAACAGCCCCGTAGATATCCAATGAGAAGTTAGGATTTGCTTTATCTTGCCCGCTCGTGGAGACAGTCATGATATGAAATGAAATAGTGATCGTCATCTGTCGAGACCCTAACTGGCGATCGTGTATTCTATTCGAGTATTTGTTTGTTTTCGAGCACTTTTAGTGAATTTTAGGGAAAGCCAAGACCAAAATAATTCTTAAAACAGCTGACTGGAACGAAGATAAATTTCTCAAGGAGCCATCGAGAATCAGTCGTAGAAACACGTGATCTGCTCCGAACGCAAGAAAGCGCGGGAAAGCGCGGGAAAACGCGAGGTGAACAAGGTGTGGTTGATTTCATGTAAGCGTCTGATTGGCTGACTAGGTGACACGAGTATTCTCGACCAATCAAGTGCAGGGAAGCAAAACTAGTTTTGTATTAGATTCTCCTGACACTCGATGCAAATTTACTCCATTAATTGTTATTGCCTGGTTTCCATTTTTTCGTCCTTGCTTCGTCTATCGCCAGTCCTCTCTGTTTGAAAGATAAGCTCTGTTTCATGCATTTTACTTTTCCATTATTAATATATAATTTGGGCGCAGAGGAAACCTCTACTTTGATATACTCTACCAAACAGTTTCTTTTCTCTTTTTTAGTATGAATAGAGGACGAGATGCGAAAAGTTACGAGAATTTTAAACAAGAGCTGGCCTCCGTGTTCACTGATCTTAACGCACTGATATCCTCACGTCTCCCAGACATAACTTTAAAAGTACGTTGTAAACGTTGCTTATCTCACAACCGACATAGTCGCCAAGTGAAAGGAGAAGTATTCTCCAGGAACTAGATAATGTTCCTCTTATTATTAAAATCTACCCATAGCAAGTTTTTGTTATGGGTATTAGATTTCGAAAGCTGAATGTTTTGCTTTGAAAGCAGAAGTTAATTAATTTATTTTCATTATTTCTTCGACAGTCTCTAGCAATGGTGAATTTTTCAGGAATTTATCAAGATTCTTTGAAAGTGTTTAGCTATGAAGAATTAAGGTAACAAATTGTTTGTTCTTAAGTTATGTCAGTCCAGAACTGCCATCTAACCTTTAATAACACTTCAGACCCGGTCAGTTCTCATTTTTTTCACTTTAATTATTTTTTAGCGGACGGTTGATAACTTTAGCAGTAGGACGGCAACGCCGAGGAAGACGTCGATCTAAGACTTGAATTTATATCTTTAGTTAGAGTTTTACAAGTAGCTGGACGCGTCTACCGTCTCTCACGGCGTTATACATTTACTTCAGGATAACGTATGTGAGCAGCGTTGAGTTCAAAATGGAAGCTTGGCAAGCTTGGTGATTTCACGCACTGAGCGACTGTTTTGCTCATAAGTATTTTGTTTTGCCACGTTGTCGTTGCTGTCGTAGTCGTGGTTTGCTTAAGGCCCGGTCAAACGCGCGCAACATTTCAACGCAGCGTCTTGCAACAGTAAGGACCTTTCGCAAGCCACGACGGCGAAGGCAAGGAGAACGTGGCAAGACAAAAGATCTGATGAGCAGAACAATAGCTCAGCACGTGCATTTTAAAACTGTGTACATTTCTTAGCCGCCCTCTGCAAAATAACAACGTGAAATCATCAAAATTTTCGTGGTCTTAAAAAGGGAACCCGGCGGCAAATTGTTTAAGTTTCCATTCGTACTCCACGCCGCTCTCATACGTTATGCTGAGAGTAACTTGTGTCGCCGTAAGAGATAGTAAACACATCCAGTTATTCGCGAGATTACAACTAAAAATATATATTCATTTTTAAATCGACGTCTAAAATCGAAAATATAAATGTTTTGCCCAAGAACAAGACACAATGACCTGGCCGGGTCTCAAACGCGCACTTTTTGACCTGGAGTCGATAAATGTGATTTTGTAACATAACGTGAAGATCTCTTTTTACTTTATAGCTAAAAAATTGTTATCATTCTTAATTTCTCGGAAAATTTTTTTGCATGTAAGCAATTATAGTAACGGTGAACGTGTTTTGCGATATTTGGCGTAAGTAATTTAGTGTTAGCAATTGAGTTGAAAACGTAAATTGGCCACTTTAAAGAGTAAAAAGGCGGACGTTTCGAGCGTTAGCCCTTCGTCAGACTCTAACGCTCGAAACCCACCGACACAGCACCACAGTTTCTTTAGAAACTTACCCCCTTTAGATATTTGACGCAAGTTTGCCTTTGGAAGAAAAGAGCCTTTAAAAGCAACTTCTGGCTTAGTTCCGGATGTAATTATGTTCTCGTTGTATATTTTTCTTCTTAGTACCATTGCGAAGGATTTTCTTCTCAGTGCAGCAAAGGATCAGAAAGGGCTCAACAATAGCAGACTGCAGTTTATTGATGCAACAGTAAAGAGTGAGCTCTTTGTGCACAAAGGTAAATTTTCTTTTCCTAGGCATTGTTGTCACAAAACACGACGTCCGATTCCTCTGCTGCTTTCCTTGCAATTGCTGTACGTTATTTTACATGAGCTATTTCATCCATAAATTTCTGAATGTCATTACTGCATATCCACCGTACCAATAAGCAATGAATTGGTTTGTTTTTATTCCTTAAGAATCAAGGGCAATCTTGATGCCAGTTCTTGTGGCTACCATTCAACAACAACTGATACAAAAGCAAGACATGAGAAAATGTGCCGAAATAGTGGGATCAATTCTCACCTCACTGCACAAAAAAGCTGCGGTAAGTTAATTACAAGAATCGAATAAAATAATTACGAGGATTCCTCCAAGTCCTCCCTAAATCCGTGCGAGAAAGGCAAAAACTAGTGCTTAAAGACGAACAGAAAATGAAAACTATAGTTGTAACTGAGTTTAATAATTGTGTAACTTTCGATCAACCAGTTAAGTTTTGGAAGTTATGTTCGGGAGTCACTCTCTGACAGTTTAGGGGAGTGATCTGTCACACGCAGTTGAGGAGAATGAACAAAGCTGTAGAATCGTGATTATTTGTAACCTATTACATGTAGGAGGTTACATGCAGGTCACGTTGTGAGCCACGGTCAATGAAAAGGAAGAGAAAAATTCCATCAAATGATAAAGCGGTAAATTAATCAGAAAACGAACGCAGAAAAAGTTGCATCAGAAAGTTTGTTAAAGCCGTGACTCGTTTTTAGCTCGGAAGATGGCTGAAAGCCTTTTCCGAGTAGTTGTTTTGTCCCAAAACAGAATTCATTCCTTTTCCATTCATCCCTTTGTCATTCCTTCGTGACATTCCTGTTAACTTTTCTGAATTTGGAGATAGACACGGGTGATCACAATTTACGACTGTCTTAAATTTCTCTAGGAAGGTGCAACTGAAGACGACGTTTATCTTGTGGTGAGAACCTTACTACAACCTGTGTTTCAAACGGTGATGACTGTAGACAGATCAAGTGAGCTTGCGGTAAGTTGACACGCCGGAAATGTCATTGAGAGATCTGCCCTCGGTAGAAATTATTTAAATTGCACGAAGCCTCCGTGCTGGGTTGAGTTTATCATGTTATGTTACTCGCCTAAACTCTTCTTCTTTTTACCTTCAGAGGCATCTCCTGGCAGTTTTGATAAACCTGTTACTGATTATGAAAGAGAAACATTACAGTCTGTATCTGAAGGAGTTCAAAGACAACAAAGAACTCAAAGACTTCCTGGTGAATGTCTTTGTTGTGTTCATTGAAATCGTAAAGCGTGGAATCTTCCTCAGGGACTGGATTGTCATCATTATTTTGGGGAACAGGTGAGAAGTCTCAGCATGATCTTCGAATAAGGAAATTCATCGACACGTTGGGAATAATGTAACTGCAAAAATACAACTTCTTTAATCCAGAAAAGTGCGACCTTGGATGCCAATCCGGCCATATGATTGGTTAATTTGTACCACATGGTATAAAATCATACAAACTGATTGGCTATGCCCCATATAGCCCCCGTATACTTGTTATGGTATACTATTGATTGTGAATCGACGCGGAAATCACATTTTAATTGATCAATTAAGAGGCATTTCCCAGCAAGGGCAGTGTGCCATATATCCTTCTCTTTATCCTTTCGTTCCTTAGCTGCCAAAGAGATCATGTATAGTGGTCTTTTCCTCCAGATTCCTCCCTTCTAGCTCATTCCTCTCCTGACAGTGACATTTCCAAATTGCTTTTTTTTCAGTGTGATTCTAAGGGCCACTCAGAACTTTTCACAAGCCCTGATTGATAACTTTTCAGGAGATAACTTCGACTATCAGGTGAGAGCCGTAGTTCTGACGTAGAACTCGTTCGTTTTGTTGTTTTATCTTAACGACATTTTTTTGTTACTACTTTCACTGTCGCAGTTGTGGAACAACTACTTCAATCTAGCGGTATCTTTCCTCACTCAATCTCACCTACAACTGGAGAACTTCACTGAGGTCAAGAGAAACAAGATCATCGACAGGTACCACGTGTTATAAAACCTGCAACCTAATTGGCTACGCCGCATAGAGCCCCTGTGTGCTTCTGCTATGGTGTACTGTTGATTGTGAATCAACGCCGAAATCACATTTTAAGTGATGCATGATGTTCTGTTCTGTACTCTCAAATATTTGTATAGTTTTATTCACTTGGGCGAGGTAGCATTTCAGTACTAAATATACTTTTATGTGCAAGCCTGTAATAGTATCTGTTTCGTATATTGTAGGTTTTCATCTACTTCACTATATGTGGCAAAAATGAACACGACAGAGGAATTCTAACTAGTTCCTCCTCTTCTTATAAGTTGTCATCTCCAATAAGCCCCCCTTGTCTGGAATCCCCTGAAATAAGTGAGGTCGCGGTGGGGGACATGCTATCAAGGACCATTCGCAGTTAGGAAGGCAACGCCAAGGAAGACGTCGATTTAAAAATGAATACATATTTTTAGTTGGAATTTCGCGAACGACTGGATGTGTTTACCATCTCTTGTGGCGTCGCAAGTTAACCTCAGCATAACGTATGAGAGCGGCGTTGAGTTCCAAATGGAAACCTAAATAATCTGACGTCGTCTGCCTTCCTTTATCAGACCACGCAAATTCTGATGATTTCACGTTATTTTTCATAGGACGACTAAGAAATGTACACAGTTTTTAAATGCACGTGCTGAGCTATTGTTTTGCTCATTAGATCTTTTGTTTTTCCACTTCCTCGTTGTCTTCGCCGTCGTGGTTTGCTAAAGGTCCTTATCTACTGTGTATGATATCGATGACTGTGTTTAGCTAAACTTTTTTAATACACCTGCAAATCTCTTTCTTTTGTCTTTCTTTGGTAGGTATGGTGACATGAGGCAGGTCATGGGGTTTGAGATTGTTCAGATGTGGCAGGGTCTTGGTAAGTTGTGTTTGCGATCCTGAAATGAATTGTGACCTGATGCACAGCTTTGCACCGGTTACACAGGCCAAAACAAGGCGGGTCTAAACGGGACGAAGCGAGACCAAGCGGGAGCGATATCAAAGGTCTCAGAATAACTGACGAAAATGTGCTACGCTAGCGGTGAATTTCGTAGATGGTTAGATTTTCTAGTCTTCGTGGATAAACCGTTCGCTCCCTGTTCAGCATAGCTATGATTAGCAGGGCGTGACTAAGAACCCGCGTACTTATCGAAAAGGGTTTCAGAAGTGTACAAAGCTCTTTGTGTTGTTGTCTGGTCTTTTTTCACGCGGTGGTGCCTCACAGACGTTGGTGAATGAAATTAGGTATTATCTCAACATACGGGCACTTGCCAGAAGGAGCTAGTTAAGTGAATGAGTCTTTCAAATGTTCTCCAAAGCTGCAATGGCGGTGAAATTTATAGGTGGATGTCAACTGATGGTGATAAAAGAAAGTGCCAGCCATTTCCTAATGGCAGGAAACTAGTTCTAAAACACGGAATTTCTGTTTGATTTTGAATACAACTCGAGCTATTTATCGTTAACTGCCTTTTTTCTTAGAAACGTCGTTGAACTTTGTTACGCAATCGTTTGACAGGTTCCTTTCAGAAGAATTTCATGCTGAGTATGGTTTGTCCTTTCTTGGAAATGACTTTGGTTCCTGAAACAGGTGAGGCAGATTATGTTTCCTTGCTGTAAAATGAATTAGTCTGTTCGCAGATCTTCTGTTTTCTCTCAGTTCATAGTTAAAACTGCGATGAAAACAGGAGCAGCGGGAATTCAATGAACACTTTTGCGCTTCGCAATCCTTCTACTGCGCCTGTTTCGCTGCTCCTCGCTTAACAAAGTGGAGACGGACGAGGACAGACTTTTTTTTAACAACTTTATTGGGTTTATAACATAGTACTAACTACAAAAACATATTACATAGAGACAAAAATGAATGGAGAGAGGAACAAAAATTAATTCTAACCCAAAAGAGCAGGTGCGAACGGGACTGGTGTCCCATGTGAGGCACCGCCCTGTAGCTAAAGTTCAATAAAACACAAGGAATCTAAACTATACAACAAGTTTGTGTGTTGTCAGCTGCACCTATAGCTTGTGACACGAGCGAATTCTAAATAGTGTCCACGTGCAGGGCCAGTCAATGTCAAAGGACGTTCTCAGGCGGTCAAAAAGGGTTTGTTTGACGAAAAGCTGGAAGGAGAGCGGACTCGAAAAACTAGAAGAAGGAACAATAGAACAAGAGTAATTCCAAAGTTTCACAATGCAATTAAAGCAGGAGGCCTGACAACTGCTCGTTTTACAGATCGGTGTTTTAAATTAAAGGAGCTGCTTAGTCTAGTACGGCCGTGAGAAATAAAGTTTGTGAAACTATGTACATCAAGGTACTTGATGTACATAGTTTGGCGGCCTTGTGGGAGAGTAAAAGGGGAGAATAACTTATTGATGACAGTACATCAAGGCCGCCACCTTGTTTACATCACCTTTTTTCAAAAAGGTGAGGTAGACGAATAGCCGTGCATACCTCCGAGACTTGTCAAGCATGGAAATAATTTTGTACTTGTTGAGTTACTAGTAGAATGTTCACGGCATTACATAAGAGAAAGACAAATGTTGAATGTAACTGGAGGTATCGCCTGCTTGGATTGTGTCACTTGATCCATTTCGATCAAAAGAATATTCAATAAAGTACGAGTGGAATCGATGTGTTCTTTGTTTGTTTCCTAGCTCCATGTTGAAACATATAGCTCACAATTTCCTTGAATCGTTTTGTTTTTTTTTTTCCTCTTTCTTTTTCAGAATTACGTAAAGCAACATTACCCATATTCTTTGACATGGTACAATGTGAACTTAATTCCAAAGGCGCGGCCACGATGGTATGATAAGTGATGCAAGGTTGATGTGTAATGAACTAATAACCGTATCGCTCTGACGAAGGGCTAACGCTCGAAACGTCAACTTTTTTACTCTTTACGGTGGTCAATTTACGTTTTCAATTCAGTTGTTAACACTAAATTACCTGCTAATAACGGTTTCGTTCGTTTTGATATGTTTTACTGGAACAGAAACTGAAAAATATTGGAATAAGTGTGTATGAAAGTGACTTTCATTTTCACGACCTCTTTGTAGAGGGAAGGCATTGGTAAACAAACACATGCGAAAATGGTCATTTTTAATTAGCTTCTTGTCACAAACAACGGTTTTGTGACATGCGCATTGGTTTTGTGACATTGCGTCTTTGGGTAACTTATATCCTGTTGTGTGTTACTGTTTGTTTTGAATGAAGGTGGAAACCAAAATTGTAAACGAACTCGACCGACTTGTCAGTATGGATAAGAAGGGCGACAGGGAGTACAAGAAACTCTTCAAGGAAATGTAAGATACTGACCGACCGTTAAAGGCCGCTTATCTAAATAATGTTTAGCTGTTGGTCGGCATCACTGCGTTCTAGACAGTGTTTGATTGTGCCAAATGTTTTATTTAGACAAATGCTATGGAGAGTGTCGTGGATACTTTTAGCTAACACCAGATAAACAGCTTTTTACATCAGACAGGCTCCATCTATAGTAAAATAACCGGCTTTACATTTTTAACTCACTTGCGTCGGAAAATCGCTTTTAAAAAGCACTTTATCTTCCTGTTTGTCGAAAGTAAAATTAGGGCGACGTTCTCAAGACCTCAGGGTGACTGTTATTGCGAACATCTGCATAGTTATTTCAGCCTCTTGAGTATTCCCACGACTTTCCCGACTGATAAAATCTTCATTGTGTTGGAACCTTCATAATGTTTCTCTTTCAATAGCTTGGGCGTGTCTCTTAATTCTGTCGAACAATCAGTTTATGTAGATTTCCATAATTGAAGCAGTATATTGTATTTTAATCATTGTTTTCGCAGTCTAACAGAAAAGTTTGATGACGAGATACTGTTTCGTGAGGAAGGCTTAGCGTTTGTGAATCGAGTAACGGACCTCCTAGAGTTACTTCTAGAATACAGGTAACTCGCTTAAGTGATGTTAAAGCGGGGGGCGGGGGGTACTTTGGTCAATTTTTACAGGGTATGTGCCGTTGGCCTCTCATAACCCCTACCCACCATTTTCCATTCTTCGGCCCATTATAGACCTTATCGTAACACGGTAACAGCTTTTTAACTGCGAATCTTTCAGTTTTTAAATCCTTTCTTACCGGAATTTTCCTACCCCCAAAATCCCGCAAATGTGCGACCCCATTCTAGATACTCTATGCAACCCCATCAATCCGGTCGTGAAAATGCGACCCCATTTAGCGGCACAGCCCCATAGGCCTACCTCACTGCCTCATCTACCAAGAAGCAACCCCCCCCCCCCCCCCCCGTGTTAATTTCAACTCGTGTTTTATTGGTATTTTCATAATTGACCTTTCTAGATAGTTCAGAGAGAAAAGGAAAACGTTTACGTGGGTCATTTTAGTTCGGCCATAGTTAACTGACACAACAAAAAAAAATATGGCTCTTGAATATGCTTAATATGCAAATTACACCACAGCTACTTAAACTAATGTAATCATTTCTAACTTAAATTTGAAACTAAAACGTCACGCAAGTACATGCTTGGGAACTGTTTCTGTAACAATTACATTAATCTACTGCCACCTCAGTTTCAAATTGCAAGCATGTTTCCTTCACAATCTTGAGAGAAAATAAGAGGAATGTTACACGCATCTCAAAATTACATTTATGTGGGTTGGAAAGGTGAAAAGGTAAAGATGACGATATGACCGAATTTTCCTAATTTAGTCCTTATGAAAAATTATGTTTGGGCGAGGAAGGAAAACTAAATCACTGTGAAGTTTTCTTTTGCAAGCAAATAGAACTCTTGCTATTAACGAGTTGAACTCTTTAGTAGCAAGGCTGAAGGCAGCATAGCGAGTTGTATCAAACAATTGAATAATAGAGAGATTCGACAATTTATCAAGCGACCCACGGGGTCGTTCTTGGAATTGAAAGTTTTAACTCGTTGTTGTATCGTTTCCTCGTTAGGAGGGTGTCTGGTGAAGATGATAGAGAACAGAAAATGAGCTGCCTTGTAAATCTGTCGGTAAGAAATGAAGACTAACTCTGCTATTTCGGGAAAGCTGACAATAAGATCTTTTAGCTCTATTGGTTGCTTTTAGTTTTATCATAAGGATGCAGGGATGACGAGCTCGCTACTGTTTCCGTCCCGCTACAGTTTCTCAGTTGATTGCTTGAAGAAAGCCTCGACTCGACGTATTTAGTATAGTCTTGGAAATACGGAAGATTTAGTTCCCAACTTGGAGAAGAGATAAAGATGGTGAAACGTCCCGAAGACGTTTTTCTATGCAACATCATAAGCCCTATTTCTTAAAGTCACAGTTAAGAGTCTTTCTTTATACCAAGCAATATCAAGTTAGTGGTGTTTCCAATTTCAGGAATTTTACCAGAAGATTGGTCGTGAAGACATGTATATCAGGTGAGGATATCTTGCATATTTAACTAAAGTATCTTGAACGCTGTTCACCTCTCGCTCTCATGAAGGGTTCGCGCTCGAAATTGTGAGCTTTAGAAACTTTATATGGCAAATTTACATAGTAAACTTATTTGTTACAACCAAATTATCTTGTAATACCTCTCTCTGACGCAGCAGCTCAGTTTCTTTAGAAACTTAACCCCTTTATTCACCTGTATTAGTTAAGTCCTCCCTTCCTTTGCAGTAGATTTTCTGGTGAAAGCATCCCAGTTTGTATCGTTCTTTCGAACTTAATGAAATCTTATGAATGTTTTCATCTCGTGGCCGTCCTTGAGATAATCGCCCTGTTTTACTTTCGACTGTCTATTCTTTCATTTTCCTTTAGGTGTATAAACAGACTTTGTGAACTTCATATTGCGATAGAGAACTTCACAGAAGCTGGTTTTACCGTCTTGAAACACGCAGAGTTACTCAAGGTGATGAAAAAGAGTTTTAAAACCTTTGGTAAAGTAGTCTTCGATTAGGTGTCGGTTGTAATCGGCAATATCTCTGGCAATATCTCTGGCTTTAATTGATTAGTGATTTGCTTTTGAAACTGGCGCCAGCTTCTCAGCCAATCACAAATGTGCAAAGCTTACACCGGCAGTAACTTGGCAACCCCTGTTTTGGCGCCCTTCATGCCGCTCATGTGTTAAAAACGTAGAGTGCTTATTGTTTCTTCGTGACATTTACCTTAATCTTATTGGATGTTCTTATTCCTTTGGATTTGCATGGGTTCATGTCACTCAGTCATAAAGCACTTACATAGCGAGACCCTACCAAGGGAATACTAAAGTCACTGGCTTTTCGACAGGGTTTTCGCGTTATTACTAACATTTGTCCTTGCCTCTATAAGTGGCCTGAGACGATGCCTGAGGATTCCCCCGAAATTTTTAAAGAGTTCCAGCTGAAGGAAAAGTTGTATTTGGACGCCATTGACTTCCTGGACAAAGGAAAGGTATAGAAAAACATGTTGACATTGAACTTTTTGACTATGGGCAGTAGACCCAGGTTTGTTCATACGCACTCCAAACCTCGGGTTCTTCACTCAATTTGTGTGCAACAGAAGATGTACATTTCTGCGGTCTACTTTTAACTGTTCCTACAGGGAGTGATGAGGGCTGTAAACTTCGTTTGCAGTTCATTTGCAATGTAATTTAAAAAATACACTTCGTAATACACGAGTTTGCATTTCACAATGTTTTCCAAAATAACAGTATTTTTGCACTTTAGTCGCTAACAATAGCACCTTGGCTCAGACCTTGTGTTCTCCAAATAGTCATTTGTCTGTTTTTTTTCTTTTTTTTCTTTTCTCCCTCTCAGACATGGGAGAAGGCGATTGAACTATGCAAAGAGCTGACGGAGCAATACGAATTGCTGCTGTGTGATTACGTTAAACTTGGAGACATTTTGGTGAGTAAACGTTAATATAGTAATTATTACGATAATGAAATCTTGTGGTTTGTCTTTCGAATTAGTTGCTTCCGATGTGGATTGACTTTCATGCTGTTAGTCTCCGTCATACGGTGAGGTCGACTGTGCTGACGTGTCACTTTATGCTCCGTTGTGATTGGATGGTTTTCAACAAACGTGATTGATGCATTCCGATTACGTGTCGTATTGTTGCTGCATTCTGCATTATTGAAAACGAGAATATTCAATTAAAGTGGTTGTTCATGATAATCTTCGTAACCTTTATGTTTTTTTTTCTGAATAGAAAAAACAGGCCAAGTTCTTCGACAACATCATGACCCAGGTTCGGGCAGAATCTGAGTACTTTAGAGTCGGGTTCTACGGCAAAGGCTTCCCATTATCAGTGAGGGTGAGAAAACTCGTTTAATGTCTGTAGTGTAGTCGCACATTAACTCCAACATCGTCAAGATATGCTTTGAAATTATTCCTTAGGAACAGCTATTCCCACTTTCTTTGTTACCTTGTTTAGACAACTCAGTGTTATATCAAGATGACGTCCTCTACCTGATTCGTTTTACTCGTTACCTCTTTGCTGGAATATGTATCGATATTGTCTAGAGAAGTTGCATTTTAACCATGTTTTGGAGGGCTAAATGATTGAAACTGATTTCCAATCTGCTCCATAAATGTTCCCAAGGAGTCACCTTTCCCCCTCTCCCTTATACCTTCCTCTCACCCGTTATTGAAGAACGTGAGGAAAGGCTGACAGAAAAGAGAGATATATCAGCACTTTTTACCGGTGGGGCCATCATAAGAAAAAAGTGTCTTCAAGCTACTTTGAAACTCGGAAACCTGCGTGTCTGTTCATTTTTTCCTAAATACCACACAGTAGTAATCTAGGGTTGGCGTTGTTTGATAATGTCGTAATTTTAACAATGTGTTTTTTTCCCCTCAGAACAAGGCTTTTGTTTACCGAGGTCACGAATACGAGAAAATCGGCTCCTTTAATCAGAGACTGAAGGCGCAGTTCCCTGATGCTCTGGTGAGTACTTGCCCACTCGTGGTGGGTTTTTTTGAGTAAACGCATAGAAAAAATCCTCTGTTACTGACAGGTTGTCCCAATCCTCGCGCAGCCCTCATACATCGCATGTAATACGTATCACACGTAGACCACGTACCCTCAAGTTTTATCGCTTTTCGGGGCGCGAAATAAGAAAATTGAATACCCTATTACACATTTAAGAACCCAAAACCTAAGTGTTTGGCTGCCCATATTTGTTTACCCTATACCCTACACACTGTTCTTTTCATTTTTACAGTACCTCTGGCACTGACAAATGTAACTTGTTTGACAGTCATGAGTTTCCTAAATTGGGGATCATTTCCTTTATTCTCACGACCTTAAAGTTTGATTCAAGGTTGATATTGTAAGGAGTGAAAGCCAATTACTGTTAGGGGTTAAAGGGTTACGATACTGCACTCTCAGTCAACGAACATGTATGATTGTAGCAGTTTTGAAAGTTGTATGATTTTCATAGCACTGTAACTTAATCCACCCTCGGAAAACGGTTTCTGTTTCAGATGATGGACAAGAACACACCGCCAGAAGACGACATCTTGGAATCTGACAAGCAATGTATCCTTTAGCGTATGCTTTAAGGAGTGATAAATACAAATTATCACTCTAGTTAATAAATAATGGCAATAATCTGACAAGAATGCGAAATGGATGTCATTTAGCGTACGAGGAGGTCCTCGTTACAAGCGCTGGGGCAGGAGCGTTCCCTCGTTTGCGAGAAGTTGTGTGGCCTGGAGCTAAGCCAGCTGGCGAGATGTTTCCGAGGGGTTTGTTACTAGTGCTAGACCTCTCGCCGGCTTGCTTTGCGTCAGGTCTCGAAATTTCTCTTGGGCGAAGAAGCGCTCGTGGCGAAGCGCTTAAAATGAGGGTGTGTTCGCAGGCTTAACATTAAAAGCTTCATTTAGGTAAGAAGTCGGATGAACTACAATGGATGAAGGCCGGTATTGTTTTGTACTTGTGACCTTGACTATTTACAGATCTGCAGTGTTGCCGAGTGATTCCTATCTCAGAACACGAAGCACGTTTTGCTGGCAAAGTCGTAGATGATAAAATTGCAGGGTGAGTGTACTGATGTAGTATGAAAACAAGGCTTAAAACATGACTCTATGTGAAATAAGGCTTATTTTGTTTTCAACTTTCAACTATCGCTTAAGACCGCCCAGCACAAATATCGACTAAATTATGTGACAACCAGCACAAACTGCAACCTCGCAATGGAACTGCTACTGTATGCATTTGAATTTCGTCAACTGTACGAGGATGAAGCTGTGGTCAGTAGTTTTTGTGCGCTTGGTCAAGACTCTTTGTAGCGAAAGTCCAGGCGTGTCCATTCTGTTTGCGTTTTACTTGTACTTTTTACGTTTTAAACTTCCTTCCAGCTATGTGATCAAAATGTAGAATGAAAAGAAGAGTTAAAGAGAGCGACAGCCATTTCGAACGGGAAAAGTTTATTTTTTGTATTAAGGTCTACCCTTACCGGCGTTTATCCGGGGGCGATGCTCAGTAGATAAGGCTTGTTAGCCCAGTTGGTAAAGCACTACACCGTTATCGCCGTGGTCATGGGTTCAAATCCCGTACAGGCCTGAATTTTTTTTAGTCCTTATCTTCACCGCCGCTTCAGTATTTTTCATTACGGCGAAGATCGCTTTCATATTCATTTTCTAATCCGCACGTCACATATGATTTTCATATATTCACAGTCAGATTAGAAATGGTTTGTAATAATAATAATTAATAATCATTTCAAAAAAAAAGGGCGTGTTTACTGTAAAAGCGTTCACATCCCACCGGATTGACTTGGCTGGTTCCTTAATTTAACATGGCCACCATCCTGTTGTTTCGTTAAACCAATATGTTGGCCGTGAAGTCATGTGTAAACGCCTAATTAATGATTTAATTGATGAATTGGTTTTCTAGTTATTACCGGGTGAACGATGTCAGAAGGTTTACTAACTCAAGACCTTTGCGTCCAGGTTCGGAGGATTTTGCGGTAAGAGACAGAGTTGTATGCTACTACTTTGTGCTTTGCAGCAGGAGTTAAAGCGCTTTGCAATTAGTATCGTAATGTTTGTTATCTTCTTGTTCTAGAACTTATGGTTAGAAAGAACGACCTACACGATCGCTTCACCTCTGCCTGGAATTCTTCGATGGTTTCAAATCACATCTTCAGAAAGCGTAAGTGTTGTGATAGCAACAGGTTGTGTTGTGCTCGTAAGATATTTTATCTATTTGAAAAGCTGCACTGCCTATCAGAACAAGCAAAAAATTAGGAGATAGAGTTTGGTTTGAAGAAATAGTTTGTATTCAACTGTAAGAGAAACCTTGCAAGACACAGGGGGTAACCTTGCGATGGATCACCATGCCATCGATAAAAATTCTGGTCTCTCTATGCCTCGCAAACCGTTCTAGGCTGCAACAGTTATGGGTGACGTGGCCTCAATTTCGTTACCTATTCCATACTTCAACAATGAAATTAAATCCAAATGCTAATTTATGTGGCTTGCTTCTTATAAGATGTAGCCACATCGGTGTCTATGGCTTGCTGTGTACCTCGAACGGTAGGGTGTCCAAAGTACCAATTACAGGGTTTGTCTGCGATTGGAAGATTTAGGGTGAGATTTTCCTCTACCGAATACAACCTCGGTACACACATGAAAGACAATCATGTTCCTTTTCGAAAAATATGTTCTCTTATTTTCTTCCATATGACATTACCTTTTTGATGCCTTTTTAGGTTGAAATCAGCCCCCTTCTCAATGCAGTTGAAACTGTGGAATCGAAGAACAAAGAGCTCGATAGGATCATCGCTAATCTGTCCTCAGATAGGAATCAGAGTATCAACCCTCTGAGTATGATACTTAATGGTATCATAGATGCTGCTGTTATGGGAGGGATAGCCAAGTATGAAGAGGTACGTTGACAAATTGCCTGTTTTAGATACAGTTGTCGGAACAGCTACGATATTCTTACAGTTATTGCGTTTGGTTGATCGGAAGATATGCAAATGTATTTTCATTATTTTATCTCTCTTAGGCATTTTTCGCCCCAGACTATTTAATGAATAATCCAGGCGATAGGCAACTCATCGACCAACTAAAGCGCGCCATAGGAAATCAGGTAAGGTTGTTCGTATGCTAAACGGCCTGATTATTTAAAATACTGCAGGTTCTTTTGTTTACTGCAATATTCCTCCGTAATCTTTTTTTGGCCTTGTGTACATCATGGTGGATAAGTTGAAAATGCATCAATCACCGGTTACGGAAACGCTCGACTGCATCAATAGGCATACGCAGAATAAGGGCCTTACTATTCTGTCGAAAATTAAAGAGCTGTGACGCAAGCGTTTTCGACAAGCTCAGATTGCTATCTAGATTGGTGCAGACAGTAGGCCTTGCGATTCAAGGAGCGCCCTTGAAAAGCTCCGTTTTCGATGAGCAGTCAATCCATACCAGTGAGCATGGTGTGCCTAGCCCAAGAAATAAAGGGGCCTGTTCAAATCTCACCGGCTTAGATTGGACAAAGTTAGGTTAAAAATGTGATATGTGACTTTTTCCTTCATTTAGGTGAAGATCTTGGAGAAAGGTCTGAATCTTCACGATGAACTAGCAACCAAGGACTTGAGACCGTTTCATAACAAAATGGAGACTTGTTTCGCCGACATGAAGGCTCGTGTCTCAGGGGAGGAGAGAAAGTCTGCCAGGCCTAAAGACCTCCAGGTTGGTTAAGCAAAGGATTTTATAACTTAGCGATATAGACATAGTTGCCCTCTCTATATACATCCATTTTATTCCTTGGCACAAAAATTTTAACAAAACCATCGCAAATCGCGATATTAGCCAACTCGTTAAAACGAAAAAAACCCTGCAAAGCCTAAAGAACTTCTTGCGGCGATACGATAACTGGATTGCTCCTTGTCCTCTTGGCGCACGCAATCAAGTTCTTGAAACAAGCGTTATCCAAAGGATTGGGACCATCTTCAGGAACAAAGTGCAGCATGGACCAAAACCATAGCGGCCGGGAACCCAAGCTGTTGATCTTAGCCAAATAGATAAAAGGTGACAACAGAGGAAGAAAAAGGCAATTGTAGCGCAATTTTCATAGTTCCACACCACAGCAAAAACTTGTTTATTTCCTCGTTAAGATATTTCTTCACAGTAGAATCCGCCCTGAATTGAAATCCGGTCTAATAGCAGGAGGGAGTACCATCCATGATTCACTTGCAATTACAACCTGCAAGAAAAAAATCATATCGCCAAAATTTTTCAACTACAGGATAGCGGCTTTAGTAATTGTGACGCAAGCGATGACAGCAATTCTAATAAGCGGCCCTATGTCTATGACTCAATGTCTGCAGGCTGCATTATAGTAAGAAACTACACCTACCTCCCGAGGCAAAATAGGCATGCGAAGTTGCTTCTAAACAAAGGCCTGGCGAATAACCTACAAGGAAAACTAAATAACTAACGCGCAATAACTGCATTTATATCCAAACACTACTTTCTCTAGTAGATCATTTAAACCCCCAAAGGCTCCACAAACTACATGCAAACGGATATAAAATAGGCAACACCACGTCTAGGACACAGTCAGCTCAGACACTAAAATAACCAAACAATTAGCAAAAACAAAGTTACAGCCTTGATTAAGAAAGGTGAAAAACCTAAACCAACAGGAACAGCGCAGTTCAACTTTGTGAAAAACCTTGGCCAGAATGGCACGCGAACCAGTGTCAAAAAAGGACACAATTTTCCATAAGTGAACAGGTCTCCTATTGTCGAGAGAACTCGAAACCTTCTCGTTCAACTTATAAAGCTCTAAAACGAAAGAAATCTTCTCCAACGGACGCAGTCGTCCCTTCACATGACCAGTGTCATTTACCCTGGACATAGCTGTCCATGCAACTAATGACCAGTGTCAAATCCTGCAAATACCAGCACTAAAAGCTAGTGCAGAAACCTACTCGAAGGGCGAAAAAGATGGATAATCCCTACAAAAATTCGAATCTAAGCTCAACAACCTCGCTTGTAAAGCGAGGAGAACCAAGGAATGTACTTGAATTTCTTCCCAGGGTGAGAGCTTGGGATACATTCAGCGTAAAGCATCCTATAAAGAGCGACCGATATTTGCTCGTCAGAAGAGGCCAGAAACTGGACGAAGGCCATAATGGAACTACAAGAGTAGCCATCGCTTTCTGTAGGCTCAGATAATGGATAATGAAAGCAACAAGAGAAATTGGAGGAACCACTAAACAATTCTCGGAACTTAACTCTTGGGCGAAGAAGTCAATTCCTGACGCAAAGAATCTAGGGAGCTTTGTTGTATAATAATTAGCAAAACAGTCAACTGTATGCGGGCCCCATAACTCTTCCAAACTTAGAAAGAAATCCTGCGTGATTTGCCAATCATCAAAGTCTATAGGCGACTGATGTAATCCGCCTTCTCATTTTCAGTTCGTGGGATCCACTGCACCTCCATACGAATACTGTGCTCCGCGCAAAACTGAAAAATTTTAATAGCAAGCCTGTGCAAATCCAATTTCATGCTTCCGATTTTTATGATTCTAGCCATCGTCTGGCTATAAGTGCACCACTTGGCGAGTGAACCTTCCAAAATTGGCGCAAAAGACTCGGAGAAAAATCAATGGCTGCAAGCCATCTCCAAGTAGAACTCTTAGAACGCTCTGAAGGCTCCCAAAGCTTGTGGCACACACAATCCTCATTAAGGGTAATAACTGAATCGCACCCTGAAGCGCTGGCATCAGTGTAAGCGAAACGCTATGGCTTATTAAAGAGAAATCAATCGCGCACTTTGATGGAATTTGGATTGTTTTTCCAAAAATATAACTCCTCAGTGCAATAGGGATCCATCTTAACTTTCGAGTCCCAGTGCTGCGCGCTTAATGTAGACATAATACAGTGCCTAATCATGATCCTAGAAATGTTCCCGGAAACAGGCACTGTAGAAATTGTCTGCCCTGTTAAAAAAGGCCAATCCTCTAGCAGAAAGAATAAAATCAGAGTCGATAATACTGTCACTGGTACTAGTCTGAGAAAAGGGAGGGAGGGTGGGTGGGTGGGTGGGTGGGTGGGGCTAGATCTTAAAGTCCGAAGCAGAAACAGCTCCAAAGTGCTAAGGTCGCAAGCGAGAGAGAGAGAGAGAACAAACTGAAAACAGCGTCTTAAATAGGTAAAACGAACCAATCAGAAGCTACGATAAGCGCACTGCGACACCGAAAGGTGACAAACTGTAATAAAGAATGCGAAGCTAAAATAACAGGGGAAAATATATTTACGTTCTAATTCGCTTCACTCCAACGTAAATTATTTACCGCTTAAGGCGGCCAGGCGAAATCAGATATGGATGGATCGCGTGCGAACCCTAACAGCGAGAGAACAAACAAAGTACTACAAAAATAATCAGACAAAAACTGAGAGAGCGCAAAAAGAAAATTAAAAATCGGGCTAGCTCACCGCGAAAAAGCTGCTGATCCGTCGAAGTCGAAGATCCTTTGAACTTTTTGTCAGGTCCACGACGACCTTGTGTAGGCTGTCTCCTTTTCCTGCTTGCTGCCTTCTTAGCGCTCTTTAAGCGTTTTTCGTCCTCGAGCCAGATGCTAACTCATTCGAAACATATTCATCAAGTGCTAAGGTCGCAAGCGAGAGAGAGAGAGAGAGAGAACAAACTGAAAACAGCATCTTAAATAGGTAAAACGAACCAATCGGAAGCTACAATAAGCGTACTGCGACACCGAAAGGTGACAAACTGTAATAAGATATGCGAAGCTAAAATAACAGTGGAAAATATATTGCTCACAGGCAAGGGGTGGGTAAGGCGTATTTTTGAGCGCACTTAGTTGTAGCTTTGACATCGTTTTTATTTTAGATTCGTTGAAGCTATGATTTAATCTTGATTTCGTAGATCCCGTTACCGGCAGTACCCGTGAATCAAACGTCAACACCAGGGTTTGTGAAGGCAGTAAGAAAACAGAGTTTACCCGGAGATTTGGGAAGGGAGTAAGTATATTATTACGTCTCCTCTTTATGGTCCTAGACAAGGTTCCGGAAAGGACTTTTGTTGCAACTTACAGATTTATTTGTCGAACCGCAAACTGCCTTCAACCTGACAGAGTTTACAAGTATTTAGTTTGTTTGGAAAAACATATAATGGGTAATGGAGTGCACGTTTCCTGAAGATTTGAGTGTTTTCATTCACTGAATCACCTGAACAACCCAATGTTCACAAGTCTCCAGCCTTTATTTGGCTTCCTTGCCATATTTTTCTGTTATTGGTCGATTGATTATATTTGTTGTAATATACTTTTGCGGAAAGAGAAACTTCAATGTTTTCCCTATAACACTTACTCTTATTGTGTTTCTTTGACCAGAAGTGTTCCAGCAGCGGCGGCGACCATGAAGCTGAGGCGGCAAAGTGAAAATCGATCACGACAGAGTTTGTGGTATGAAAGCGATGATATTCCGTCCAAAAAGGTGCGCTAGTTTCTCTTTTTTGTCTCTAAAATTACTCTTAAATGAAGCTTCATATGATAAAATTTATCCGATGAAAATCAATCAGAAATAGTCGTTATGTATGCTTAACGTTATTTTGACGAGAACAAACCTCAGTCCTGAAGATCAGTTTTTCTCCAAGTAGACCCTAGCTAATTAAACCCACAAATAAAACATTGTTGTTTCTTTACAAATTTGGAAATATGAATAATTGAAGTTTTTTTTTCTTTTACAAGCAGATGTCTGGTTCTAAATCCTTGGAGGCTCTCTCTGAAATAGATGAATCTTCGCCACCAGTTCCAACGAAGAAAAACTCCAAACCAGATCTTGCTTCTGGGCACTCGCCTGAGACGATCCGTAGAAGGATGGGTCTTGGTGGAAAACTTCAACAACGAAGTTCCTCCCCAGCGGGAATGTTAAGGACTGTGCTATCACCTCAAGCAAAGTATGTCCATCAACTAGATTTGTCCTTAGAATTATTTCAAGGTTAAATAGGTGTTGTTAAACCAAAACTAATCCCAACCAGAAAAGAAAAGAACTAATCGAAGAAGTAGCATTCCGAAATACAATTAGAGCCAGTGAACCATCCATTAACCTGAAAAAGTGTCTAACAAGCTTGTTGAAATTATCGTTTTCTGAATTATTCTCTATAGTTGGTACATGTACTACTGAACTTTACTAAGCTAACGAATACTTTGGTGGTCTTATTCCTCTTACTTTTCATTTCACGTTCCTTTCCAGTGGGGAAATATCCCCCGCCCTCCCTCCCAAGCGTAAAAGTGTCTTAATTTCAAGTCCACAAGACAGCACCTCGTCAGTCCCTCCACCCCTTCCTACACGTACATCTATTGGTCTGTCAGCAGATAATTCTGTAAACGGAGCTGTTACTGGGAACGAGCCCAGGGAGGCCCCTGCAGTTGATGACGTCAATCTTCCCGCTTTACCTCCCAAGAAGTCTGTATCTAGAATGTCTCTGGATAGCGAATCAGGGTTTCCAGAAAAACCAATGGTAGGAAACAGGTTTTCTTTTACGTACGTATAGACTTAAATATCTACTTTGAAAGGGAGGAAACGGGTTACCGACAACGTGAATTATGAAATCACTTCCTGATGTTGTCATTGTGTGCTCTATGTTAAGCCTCTCAGGCTGGTATCAAAGAATCCTGTGCAGTGTGGGTCACTTGCCGATAGATGACTATTTCGTGGAAAAACAGTAAATTGGCTCACAAAGATGTACTCTATTTACTGAATTTAAAAGCGGAAATTCTCCAAGTGGCTCATCTACTACTTCCAGATCTCAATGAAACTTAATACGTTGTGGTATCATTGTTGGAGAATACAGAGAAAAGTCTTTGGAGCAGGAGAGCAAGAAAAAAACCAACGTTGGCCTCAGTCCGCATGTAACGCTAGGTTTGGAAGTTAAACCACGTCAACACCAGTGAAAGGCCAGCGCCCTTATTACGGCGCCATAGAAAATATAGAACACTCAATTGTTCTACTTATCTTTCTCCTGACTGATTGTGTTCTGTCCCTTCTTTCATTCAAGCGCCCTGATACTCTGACGTTTGCTGAAGATGATTCGAACTCAGAACCTGTTCCTGTGTTGCCAGAGAAACGTAAAAGCTACGCCAGCACCACTTCCAGTCGAGCGTCTTCCTCAGTCTTCTCTGATACAGCTTCAGATTTCCCGTCTCCAATGTCCCCTTCAGTTCCTTTAAAATTTCAAAAACAATTTCCTGATAGACTCCAGGTTGGGTCGTCAACGCGAGATTCCCGTGGATCAACTCTTCCATCGGGGTCTACAAGCTCAACAATATCCCTGGGAACTCCCCGCCCGGGGTCTTTCACAGCTCCAAGGCCAAGTGGCAGTGGACCAAATAACTATAGTTACGTAACACCACCATCGTCTCCACGAGTTCCCTACGACTACGTTTCTTCACCCAATGAGTCAGTAGCAAGCTGGGTATCGAACAGCACACAATATTTTTCAGCTTCGTCTTCCTTTGACAGCGACATCTTTTCCCCAGGAACACCTCCAAAGCGCGAATCCAACATAGATGTTCCGCCGCCATCACCGTCATCCATCTCGCGGAGTGTAGATCTTTTAGCAACGTCGCCCACGAAGAACGATTCTACCCCACCACTTATTCCGTTTAAAGGAACTCATCACTTCTCCACATCCGTTGAAAAGGTTGAAACATTTTCATTTTCGGAAACAACGTTAACGGGGACATCAACGATGACGTCATCGACAGAGGAAGAGTCTGTTGACCAACCAGTGAAACCCCGTACCCCAGTCCCAGTCCCACGGAGGAACACGATGAGCCCGTCGTCAAGTCGACCAACGGGTTCGTTATCTCGATCACGCTCTGATGTGTCGGATGGTAACCAAGGTCCCGGGCGGGTAACTCCGCCCCCAATTAAACCCCGAAAGTCCACAAGTCTTTCATCAGATCAAGGTCCAAAGTCCCCTCCGCCACCCAAACCTCCCAGACCTTCGCAGGCCAGGGAACCTCCACCAAAGCCCAAACCTTACGCTTCCAGATCAGTGGAGAACTCGCCTGCGGTTCAAAGAAAAGCGGTCAGTGAAAGCATGCAGAACATTCCACCTGGAGAAAAAAATGGATCGTGACCACATCCATTAAGATGTAAAGAGATTCAGCGCAACCTGTCTTCCCTGATTTTCTTTGAACAGCGGCGTCCTCACTTGGATTTAAATAAATATATGCTTCCCGCAAGCGAACTCGTATTTCAGGCTTAAATGCCCTTAAAATTTGAACCCAAGATTCATTCAAGCAATTCGTTTTCTTTCGCTGGAAAATAGCTAAAAAAACATACCTTAAACTAAAACGTACTTTTCCAGCATATTGCACTCCATCTACGACAGTTTATAACGCACTTAAACTACGAAAACGGATGGGTCCTCCTTTTGTAAAATGGTCGTTAATTACTGCACATAATGTACAGAGATAAATGCTTATTAGGCACAAGATATCATAATATGTAACAAAATTATCGTTGCTGACAAAAATTATGAAGCATTTCCTCAGGTTGAAATAGTAGAATAGGTACCATAATTATAAGTAAAGAAATACGGTCTTGAATATAGGATTTTTTCTTTGTGAATACGACCTTTTAATATTGAAAATACTGTGCAAGGTATAAGTTGAAGTATCTTCATGTTTTTTTCAATTTGTGAAAATTGTAGTTACCCTAATGACTAAATGAGCAAGGAAGCTTATATTTGAGTTCATTGTATTTTTATGAGATTTTGCATCGATTAAAATTATTCTAATGAAAACAAAGATGCATTACAACCATTCAAAACCATTGCAACCAATTTATTCATATTTTGTGCAGCCTTTGTTCATAGAGAAGTACAGAAAATGACTGCACTGGACTAATGGAAATGCCCAATTGTCCCTCCCATTCCACCCCGTTTTCTTCCTCCGTTCCCTCCCTGGGTGGGTTAACTAAGTAAATTGGCCCCAAGCAGTCTCTCTTTTACCAGGAAGTCCGTCGCGCGCAAATATCAAGCGGCACCCAAGAACCTTAAGCTTAGCTATGCCCTTGGTTAAATGGATAAGTACTAAGAATTGACACAAGTTTAACCATGGGATATCACTTTGATAGAACACCAACTTTCAGCTCGAGTGAAAAAAAAAACAAAAACAAAAAACGATGTACGGTAAGAATCTGTAGTGAGAATTTTTTTTGAGCATGCGAGTGAAGAGTTGAACCGATATACGCAGGCGCAGTAAAGTGCACTTGTACTTAGGGTTATCGGCCGAGTTTGAAAGTGGAGGAAGTGCTCACTACCATTTCACAATTAGGTTGATACGGGTCTCCATGCAACGATCAAGTAGAGATGAAGCCAAAATCCGCAAAATATATTTATTTAATGTACTCTTCTGTGGATATCAGGATAAAATTTACAGTACTTAAGTTATCAAGCCATTTTGGAAACGTCGAGTGCAAACGATGTCGGTCTCAGAATAGGTCGCGCTTCATCCTGTGATACATGTTCCAGTCTTAGAAATAGCTCGATAGGTTTGCAACCCATTCGAAACCATATTTGTTGTTTAGTTGCACATTCGAAAATTGTCATTCTCGTCAGTTAATGGATACCTCCAGGAGTTAGAATTATTAATATGACGGCATACATAAGGGAGATAAAATCACTTATACTGTTCTCTTGATCGACTCAAGTTGCAAAGACCTGGTAACTATTCCCAACAGCACTTAACAGGAGAAAAGAACGGAGAACATCACCGAAGTATATCGCCTGGGCTGCGTTATACTTAAATTGATATAGGTGTTCTCTCTATTTCAGGACTTTGGTCCACGGACGTTGTTCTACTCTCCAATGTCTCCTCCCTTTGTTTTGACTCCAGCTGAGCTTTGTTGATCTCTGTGGGCCAAATCGTGTGCCGAAACACTGAAATTACCACCCTGAAAATAGGAAAAAAAATATTAAAAAGTAAAAGGCCAAATCGGACAGTTAAGCAGTTAATAAGATACATGAAAAATTACTCAGTTCTGATTGGTTCAGATAAAAGCAGTTTTCATGTAATTCAATGCAGAAGAGGGTTAAATCAATGCAAAGAAGTAACAAACCAGACTGAACAATTCCTTGAACTGTTTAGCCGGACTATCGACTTTTTTGCGCCTTAAAGATGTGAAAATATCATTGTATATTATTGTTTTGATCGTACGCAGTTGTTTTGACAGAACGCATAATGTCACTTGCAGGGTTTGAATACACTATTTTTGCACTTGATGCGCGCGCCTTGCCTCTGCATAATTATGATAAGTTATCTCGTGTTTTTTCATGTCTATTATTAATAGGAAATCATATGATTTTCCTCGTGCAATTTGGAATAAATAAGCACTTGTAAATTTTTCCAAAGACCACAAATTGCACTCGAAATTATGTGATTACCTATGCGAAAAATGATGAAGCACTATAAACTATCAATCAATGAATTTCACCTTCCAACCCTTCGCTGATCAATCAGAATAAAGGAAAACTTCTTAGATGAGCGCGTTGACAGGTTTGGATTGAAAATCAACTTTAGAAAATTGAACTTTAGCTGATCAGTTATCCATAAGAAGCGTACAAGCCCTTAAAATTACATGTTTCATTCTTGAGCCTCTCGCATTTTGTTGTTCTGCCGACATTAATTGGTAATCGGACTTCGTGTCAGGTGTCATCGTGCTCCTAATTTCAAATGAACCTTGCGCTACGCGCTTGGCCAGTTTGAAATCATTCGCCCGATTACTAACTGAGAACTAAACTTACATCGGATAACATTCAACAATACCTTGGAAGCAGAGCAGCAACCGCACTTAAAGCGCAAACAGCCCAGAATTCCCTGGTTGCCATGGTTACGAATGGTACTTTATACATCTCCCAAAAGACGCCTCTAATTTCGCCGAAGACAGCGAACCACACGAATGAGATACCGATACTACCCCATAGGAACACATGATGTAGAATCGTCTGCGGGTAAAATGCCACGACATGAGTTAGTACGCCTTACATTAACAGACAGATTTGCAGTTGCCCGCGAAATTACAGACATTTGAGGAGTTATCTCCTGGGAGGTGCGTTTGCCTAACGGTTAGCGTGCTCAAGTTCGGATTGAGGGTTTGAACCTTGGCCGTACTGTGGTTTAAGGTTCTTCAGTGTTGAGTTCTGTCGTTACTTCCTCTCATTGTTTGGCTTCGGCTGCTCTTGGTTGAATAGTGCTTTGCTAGTCACTTCTGAGCTAGTCAGTCAGAGGGGGTAAAAAAGTCATTTTTCACTTGTGCATTCTTTTCCTTATATATATATGGTGAACTGCATTAAATCGAAACTTCAAGTAAAATTGAGAAAGGTTAGATTACTTGGGAGAAAAAGAAATGACGTTTGAAATATTCGCTGTTTTCCTTACCCACTGAGCTGTGATCAGAGCTAAATACAAGTTGGCAACTATCACAGAACTCTGGTGAAGGGTAACCCCAACCATGCGAATGCCAGCAGCGGTTCCATTATACACCTGTAATGAATAAAAATTGGAAATAGTTGAAAACAGTGACACTTATTAATTGCACTTGACATCCTCTAATGCGTCGACGCATTGCTGAATCAACCGCTGACCTTTATTTACAGTTCTTATCTGAGAAATCAATCTACCATCGGAAATTAAAGCAGAAATATTGAGATTAAATACTTCATTACTTTCATTAAAACATTTGACAAGTCAATTTGTCATTTTTGGTTTGATTTGTGAAATCACGTGTTCTTCAACACTGATTGGAGCAAGAGTCAAAGGAGTGAAGAAAGAAATTCGGTTTGCACAAGATTTTTCTCACCTCTTTTTGTTATTGAGAAGATCTTGTGACAAATCAGATTCAAATCTAAGGCTAATTGTAAATTAGTCAAACCCGCTTGTCGGTGCCCGAGACAGATTAGCACCATGAGCTTATTAAAGCGTCCAAGGTTCTTTGGCTCAATCAAAAAGCGCTCTTAGGCCTTTGGTGTTTCAGATTCATTATACGATGTAACTCACCCAGAAAGCTACATAGAACACCACCAAGCTTTCATACAAAGCATCCAAGATTGTCGTCCAAAACAGCTTCCTTGTGTAAAGCTATAGGTAAAAACAAAATCAAAAGTTTTATCCAAAATACAGTCCTTTACTAACGAAGTACTTCAAACAAATCCGTGATTAAAACATAACGATTATTTCAGTTGAACGAAAAAAGCACGTAATGCCTTTTTCACATTGCTTGATGATTGGCAAAGGGCCCTTGGGAGTAGGCTCAAAAACCTGTTCAATCCGTTTCTGATCAGTACCTCTTCAGGAACGGTATGATATGTGCCAAGGAATACTTTAAGAGAAAGCTTGGCGAGAGTAATGCCCTCTACCGCCGGAGTTTAACCACGTGACTATAACACGAGGTGACTACGAGTATCACAACTCCTTGTGAACGGATACTGGTCCATCGTAGGAGACCCTACCCCCCCACTCCCCTTTTTCCCGACGAAGAACCGTCACTTGTTACTAAAAGTTCATCCGTAACCACTCCTACTCTTGGGCAAGAAGAAAAACTGTGACAGGGATGCGCCATGCCCAAGAAGACACCACGCTAATCGGGGCTCGTAAGCAGACCGATCCACAGTCCAGCACGCCTAACACATGACTAGCGCGTTCCCCACGTGTACTTCAAAGTGGGACTCAGAGTGTCTGGTGCTTCTTAACATGGTTTGTCTAACTAGATCTTTGTAATACGAGGAATAGTTCGATTACAGCTACATATAAAAAAAACTGTATTCTACTGATCTGAACCTTGCTCTTCTGTCCTGTTTTGTACAGAGAAGGATTTGCAGTCAATATTAGATCGGGAACATCTTTATCCAGGACTCCACAAATCACCGGAGGCACCGTTGTGAACGCGAGATTGAAGAGAATCAGAGACAAGTCGTCGATAGCATTTGAGCCTGAGAAACCGTTGTAAAGTTGAAACCAGAAAAGAACGAGCACAAACATCTGAAAGGAAAAGCACAATGAAAATAGAGCAATTTTAAATAATATGTCGTAAGTAATTGGAGATTGCTTTGCTTTTGCTTTATTTCGCCCTGTGATTGGTCAAGAAAACTCGCGCCACCTTTTCCACCAATCAGATGCAAAACTAAAACCAATCACGCCTTGGTCACCCGCGTTTTCCCGCGTTTTCCCGCGTTTTAGTTGTTGGTTGTTTGTACTCAGACTTCTTATTGGTTCTTGAAGGTAGTTTCCTTTCTTCTGATTGGCTCGTTGTGATAGTTTCCATGCTATGATTGACTGTTGCTCTAACTTTGGTTTTGGTTTTGCGGCACTCAATCGAATAGCACTCTATTGCAAGCTGAAGTCAATAACCTCAAGTACCTACGTCCACCGGTTTCTGCCAGACCACTATTTCTATCAGGCATTTTTGCTTTTGTTATTATTCCATGGTAGTACATAATAACTCACACAAATTAAAGTTGAACGGCTTGACAGATTATTAAATAATTACAAATAAAATTGATTGATTTTAGTTTATTTGGCTGCAGATTTAGGTAAATTTTCATTTCTGCTTTGCAGCCATAATTCATTAACTCTCACGATCTGATTTTTAATTCTCCCTTTAGCTGCTACACATTTCCTTGTAAATTAGTTATGAGAATTTGTTGCTAGATAACAACTTCTACCTGAAAAGTGTGAGTATTCTCATCACTTGTTTGGTGGATAATGTATGGATATTAT